GCGGGGGCGGGGCGGGGAAACCCGAACCCCGCCGGGGGTGGGGATGGGGACCTAGATTTTATCCCCGGCGGGTATCGGGGTGGGGGCGTGGGCAGGGACAGTTTAAATTTGCGGGAGCGGGGGCGGGGAACGTAAAACTCGCCCCGCCTCGCCCTGTTGCCATGCCTAAGCACCACGTGGAGGTCACACCTATAAAAAAATATATATTCTTATATTTTATGCTTTTTTGTATGAATGAAAATTTAAAATTACCTATATAGTGTACTATTTTTTTGTGAATGGGATTACTAAATTATGAGATGGCCGTCTTCCACATATTTTTGAGATCCATGATTATCGATATTCCCTATGTCGTGATTTATTTTAGTTATTATTTCAAAATTGAACCATGTATTGGAATGTTTGACTTTATTCGGAGTAGTCATCTTCATTACTTTATTAGAATGATCGAGATGTAACTTGTCCTAAATCCAATTAGTAGGTATACCAATATTTTATTTTTCTTTTTGTGAGATGTTTAATTTGTTGTTTTAATTGTTTATCTCCTTATATCATGTAGTACACTATTACACGATTGCGAATAAATATTATATATAAAGTTAACGTGCTCCAATAATAAAAACTAGTTAATTATCGGTGCATATGCAGATACTATTAGAAATAGAATGATAATATCTTCATTCTATACTTATCTAGTTATAGCTGTTTTTTGTTTTTAGCTATATTCAGTTACTGTTAGATATAGGATTAGTTGTTATTTTCTATTTTTATCCCTTAGATAAAGTTTGTCATTTGTACCGTATATATAACACAACTCTAAAGTGTTTCGGTGCACACATGAAATCATATTCTTGAAGTTTTCTATCGATCTTTCTCTTCTTCTCTCTTTTTACAAATTATTTCTTTATCATTTTTCTCGAGTAGGATTACAAGCACTCACATGGTATCATCAGTAAACTTCTGCTTCCGCCATTGTGTCCTCTGAAGCTTGCTTCTCTTTCGGAACCCATTTTTTTTCCTCCCTCACAGTTTTCTCATGGAAAAATCTGACAACCCTTCTGATCACCTCGTAAATCCAGCAAATCCCCTTTTTCTACATCCAGGAGAAAACCCTGCACTCGTTCTCGTCACTCCTTTGCTCGCTGATAACAACTATCAACAATGGAAACATGACATGATTGTGGCTCTCGAGACAAAGAACAAAGAGAAATTCGTTCTTGGCACTCTTGCTTATCCTCCTTCCACCGATCCTCTACATGACGCTTGGAAACGATGCAACAAGATGGTGATGTCGTGGCTCACACGATCCATGACACCTTCCATCAAACAATCGGTTATGTGGATGGACACGGCTGCTGACATTTGGTGCGATCTTCTTGAGTGTTTCTCTCATGGTGACAAATTCCGCATTGTTGATCTACAAGAGGAGCTTCAAATCTGCAAGCAAGGTGATTCCACTGTATCACAGTATTATACTCATCTGAAAATTCTTTGGAAAGAGCTTACGATGTATCGTACGCTTCTTGTTTGTACCTGTTCCTCTCCATGTAATTGTGGTTTAATTCTCAAAATCAAAAAAGAACGAGATGATGATTGTGTTATCAAGTTTCTTCGTGGCCTTAATGATGAATTCTCTCAAGTCCGTTCTCAAATCATGCTCATGGAACCTATGCCGAATCTTGTGAAATCTTTCTCCCTAGTTCTTCAACAAGAACGTGAGTTAAATGGTTCTTTCTCTCATAATTCACAAGAGTCAGTTGCTAACATCAATTTTCAAGATAATTCCAACAAAAACTCTTTCACAAACCGTGGAGGTTTCTCAAATTCTCGAGGCAGAGGTCGTTCAAATAGATCCGCTGGACGCAACAATAAGTATTGTGATCATTGCCAACGAACAAATCACACTTCTGAAACTTGTTGGATCAAACATGGACTTCCAGTAGGTTACAAGAACAGTTTCAAGAATAATTCGAGTTCTTCTAAGCCTTCTGCTAGTATTGCTGAAAGTGAATCTTCTATTGTCACTGAACCTTCTGTTGTGGAATCTGACAAGCCAAGTGCTCAATTTGGTTTCTCTAAGGATCAATATCAAACCATACTTGCCTTGTTATCACAATCACAAAAAGCCTCTCCTCCAGTAACAAGTGTCCATCAATGCACTGTTAATTCCTCAGGTTCTGTACCTTCCTCTTTCTCTTGGATACTGGATAGTGGTGCTACTGACCACATTTGCCCTTTCAAATCTGCTTTTAAAACTCTTAAACCAATTTCTCCTATTTCCATTCGGCTACCTAATTAACAATTTGTCACTGCTAAATTTTCTGGTACCATTATTTTAGGAAAACTCATTCTTCATGACACACTTTTTCTCCCTGAATTTTCTGTCCAGTTAGTTTCTATTCCTAAATTGATTAATTTCATTGACTGCCTTGTGATATTCTGTAAAAACCATTGTATTCTTGTGCAGACAACTACCTTCAAGATGATTGGAGTAGCTAGAAAGCATCAAGGCCTGTTCCACCTCTTAAGAAATAATAATTTGAATGCATCTGAGTCAAATACTTCTTCTTGTAATTCTTCATTACAACATTCGATACTTGCTAATAATACTCATTCTTGTACCTTGTGGCACATGAAATTGGGTCATCCCTCTAATAAAATTTTGCACGTTTTGGCTTCTCAATATTCTGATATTTCCTTTAATCCTGTTAATGCTTGTGATGTCTGTGCCTTTGCTAAACAAAAGAGATTGTCATACTTAACTAGTAATAGCAAATCAACCTGTTTTTTTGAACTCATTCATACTGACATCTGGGGTCCCATTGCTACACCTTCCATTGAAGGATACAAATACTTCTTGACTGTAGTTGATGACTATAGCAGATTTACTTGGATACTTCTTCTCAAAAACAAAAATGAGGTCAGACCCCTCCTTCAAAATTTCATCACTTGAACAGAAAATCAATTTTCATGCAAATTAAAGAAATTAAGATCTGACAATGGAAAAGAATTTTTCATCAATGATTTTTATAATGCAAAAGGAATTTCTCATGAGACTTCCTGTGTTGAGACCCCTCAACAAAATGGCATTGTTGAGAGGAAACATCAACACCTTCTCAATGTTTGTAGAGCTCTTCTTTTTCAAGCTAAAGTTCCTAACATTTTTTGGTCTCATTCCCTCAAATTAGCTGTTCATATTATCAATAGACTGCCTACCCCTTTTCTAAATCACCAATCTCCTTATGAAATTGTTCACTCAACCAAGCCTGATCTCACTAACCTCAAAGTCTTTGGCTGTCTATCTTATGCTAGTTCACTCACTGCTGGTAGAACAAAACTTGCCCCTAGAAGCTTGAAATGTATTTTTCTTGGCTACAAACCTGGGACTAAAGGTTATGTACTATATAATCTTCAATCCAAATCTGTCATTATCTCTAGAAATGTGGTGTTTCATGAGACTATATTTCCTTATCATACTTCATTGTTGGACATTTCTCATAATGAAGTTTACACTGTTAATTCTACTTCTGACCTCACTCTCTTTGATTTTCCCTCTACTTTACCATTTCACTTGATACAACACACACAATAATAACAATTATAATGTTGTTAACGATCCCACTATTTCTGAAAATACTCAGGACAATCAAATTACCATTCCTCCTCCTAGAGCTTCTCTTATAGTAAAGAACAGGCGTGGATACTTGGATGAATATTATTGTGGTGCAACCTTTGCATCACAATCTCATCACTCTACTCCATACCCTATGCACTTGTTTCTTTCTTATGATAATTGCTCACCTGATCATATTTCTTTTTGTCATAACATCTCTGCACAAGTTGAGCCCAGGTCTTTCAAAGAAGCAAATCAAATTGATTGTTGGAAACAGGCTATGGCCTCAGAACTTCAAGCTCTGGACAGAAATCACACTTGGACATTGGTTCATCTTCCTCCTGGCAAGAAATTAGTTGGTTGTCGATGGGTCTACAAGATAAAACATAAAACAGATGGTTCTATTGAGAGGTTCAAAGCTCGCTTAGTAGCCAAGGGATTCACCCAAACAGAGGGGGTTGATTACTTTGAGACATTCTCACCTGTAGTAAAACTAACTACAGTCAGACTTCTCTTAGCCTTGGCAAGTGCCAACAACTGGTTCTTACACCAACTAGATGTTGATAATGCATTCCTACATGGAGACTTGCATGAGGAAGTTTACATGAAACCTCCTCTTGGTCTCTCTCTTTCTCATCCAAAGCTTGTTTGTAAGCTTCAAAATCCATATATGGATTAAAACAAGCCAGTCGAAATTGGAATCAAAAATTGACTTCCGAGCTTTTCTTCTTGGGCTACAAACAAAGCTTCGCAGACCACTCTCTATTTATGAAATGTAAGGGTTCAATGGTCACCGTTCTGTTAGTTTATGTCGATGACATAGTTCTCAGTGGTAATAACCTCTCAGAGATTCAGTTTGTGAAAAATCATCTTCATTCCAGATTCCATATTAAAGATCTTGGTCCTCTCAAGTATTTTTTAGGTCTTGAGGTTGCTAGATCCAAAACTGGTTTGGTTTTAAATCAAAGAAAGTATTGTTTAGAATTGCTTTCTGAATTAGGCATGCTTGGCTGAAAGCCTTCGTCTACTCCTGCCGACCCCTGTGTCAAACTTCATGCAGATCAAGGCATTATACTCTCATATCCTTCTCCATTCCGAAGACTCATTGGTAGATTACTTTATTTGACTAATACCAGGCCCGATATTGGCTTTGTTGTACAACAACTTAGTCAATTTGTTTCCTGCCCAAGGGAACCACACATGCAACAAGCAATGAGGATACTTAAGTACTTGAAGAATGCCCCTGGTTTTGGCCTTTTCTATCCATCTAATACTACTCTTAAAATTCAAGCTTTTTCAGATTCTGACTGGGAAACTTGTGCTACAACCAGAAGATCTGTTACAGGTTATTGTGTTTTCTTAGGCAAGTCCTTGATTACATGGAAATCGAAGAAACAAACTACTGTGTCAAGATCCTCTTCTGAAGCTGAATATAGGGCCTTAGCTTGTGAGCTACAATGGCTCCAATACTTGTTCCAAGATCTGCACATCTCTGTTCCAACTCCTTATACTACATTCTGTGATAGTCAATCATCAATTCAAATTGCTAAAAATCCCACATTTCATGAGAGAACCAAACATATAGAGGTTGATTGTCATATTACTAGACAGAAAATTCAAGATGGTCTCATCAAATTACTACATGTTCCCTCTACAAGTCAATTGGCTGATGTATTTACCAAGTCTCTTTATCCTAATCCTTTTAACATAGCTATTTCCAAGTTGGGACTTCACAATATACATGCCCACCTTGAGAGGGGTATTAGAAATAGAATGATAATATCTTCATTCTATACTTATCTAGTTATAGCTGTTTCTTGTTTTTAGCTATATTCAGTTACTGTTAGATATAGGATTAGTTGTTATTTTCTGTTTTTATCCCTTAGATAAAGTTTGTCATTTGTACTGTATATATAACCCAACTCTAAAGTGTTTCGGTGCACACATGAAATCATATTCTTGAAGTTTTCTATTGATCTTTCTCTTCTTCTCTCTTTTTACAAATTCTTTCTTTATCATTTTTCTCGAGTAGGATTACAAGCACTCACAGATATCGAGTCAGTTCTTATTATTATATATTGTATAGATAATTAAAAAAATATATTTAAAAAGTTGGTAAGAAGAGAATAGTTTACGCATGAAAATAGTATGAATCAAAAGTCTACCATTAAAGTTATGGCTAGGAGATTACTTCAAGATTTGACTGCTTCAGAGTTTGGTGAATTCATGGTACTTTACATATGGGCTTTACATTGACCACCATGTTATTTTCTTAAATGAGTAGTATAGGATTTACATTTATTAGTCTTGTATTTTGGACCACTTAAATTATGATTTTTGGGTCTTATGCTTCATGGGCCTATTTTTTGGCTTAATGGATCTTGAGTATTTTAGTACCCAATATTTGACTCATTTTATTTCTTTTATTATTTTTCATTGATTGTATTTAGTTGACTATTGTATTTAGGTCATTAGAGTATAAATATTGAAGGAATATTAGAATAGGTCAAGGAGACTAAATCTAGGTTTCATTTATAAGTCATTTAACATGAATTTAGAGTCACATGTTTTAAGCCTAGTGGGGCTAAACATGTGCGCACCAAATCCACTCTAAATGCCTCCTAAATGACATTTAGATGCAAGTTTAGCCTAAGATCACGACCATGCATATGAGTGACCGAAATTTTGAATTTCAAATCTCATTTGAAATTCAAATCTTTTGGCGCTAATGGGGTAAGCTTGAGCTTGGCGCCACTTGCTTGCCTCTGGATCTATATATAGTCTAAACCTCTCATTTGTAATCACTTTAACATTTATGAGATTTCTGGACTTCATCTTTAGCCAATTCTCTCCCAAAGTCACCGAAAGTTCATAATCTTAGCCTTAGGAATCCTAGTGTTCTAAACTTGGCTGAGTTTCCCTTTGTGTACCTTGCTAGAATACTTCCTTCTTAGCATAGGTTCTCGCAAATCCCTTCTCAATTTTGGATCATTAATCCGGAATCAAAATTCAAGGAAGAAGATCGTGATTCTTAAAGGAGGAAAAGGAAGAATCTCATCCGCTTCACTTACCTACTCCATCATAGTAGCTAATTAAAAAAATATATATATTTAAAAAGTTGGTAAGAAGATAATAGTTTAAGCATGAAAATAGTAGCATAAATAGAAGAGGTTTAATTAACCATCTAGTTCACATAAGAATAAAAAGACATAAATTGTAAATTTTATATTATATGGTTAGATAAAATTTAAAGAAAATACTTTAAATATTCTCAATTATTGATGACTTAGAGGAAGATATTGAGCCCAAAAAACAGGCTTTTAAAAGTTAGGTTATGTAAAATAATTCAAAATTTTGTTGTGTAATTTTGTAAAAATATGTAACATCTTATCAAGGAGTTTGTTTAGGAGTTAAGACAACAATATGACATTACCTCAAAGCGGATAGTATTTATGTAAGTTAAATCGTGAATTTAAAATAAAAAATATATTATATTAGGTATTTTTATTTTTGACATAAATACACACATTATTAAAACAAAATACTTATTCTTCAACAAATTGTATTTGGTCAAGTTAGGGTCTAGCTTCAAAATAGTCACTAGAGGGACAATTTGAATACTTTCTCACCTAGAAAAATCGATTAATCATAGTAATAGGAAAAAAGTGATAAGATGAAGGTAAAGTATTTATATCTATGTAATCCAAACACCAAGGCACCAATAGAAATAATGAATATGGATGATCATCAATGAAATAATCTATTACAGTTTTGATACAATCATCATAGAGAAACATTCAATTGTTTCCCTAGAAACATAAATTTGTATATTTAGTAGAAGAAAAATGTGAACCATGTAAATATAATATTTTATATTAAATAATTAAGTTATAACTCTTGTCTATTATTTTCACTAAAAGATGTCTCAACCTTTTACCATTAAAGTAATGGTGAGTAAAGTTTGACCTTGCATTAAATAGGCCAACAACATCTAACAACATGATAGAAATATTATAAGATTAGTAATGTATTTAAGATAAAATATTTGTATGTTTACATATTATTTACGACGTAAAGAATAAATAGAAGATAATGATTAAGTAAATAATTTTTTACTAAATTGTTTGATTGGTTTCAATATTAAACTCCCATTATGACCCATTGCTTGTAGCATAGGAAGACATTTTGTTGAGATTAAGTATAAAAAAAAATTGTATTTATATAATGAAAAGAGTATACAAAATAGTAAATGATTTTGCTTCATATAGTTTTAATGTTTATGGACACATAAAAAGGCTTTTATCTCCAAAACCACGTGATACTATTATGAAAAGAATGACAAATATTCTTTAATGTGATTAGAGTTATTTTTTTTTATTAATATAACATGTTAATATATGATAGAATTTGAACGGTTGTCCTTGATTGTTTCGGTTTTTCTTCTTCTTTTGTTTTGTTTGCAAGTAGCCTTAAAGAGACAAAAAAGAATTAAAATAGAGAAAAATAAAATAAAAAGTTAGAAAGTAAAATGTTAAGAAGGCAGCACAAAAAATTTGAGTATGATAGATAATAAGACTAAAAAATTCGATTAGTTTAAGCAAAAACTCAATAATTATTACTTGGCCCAAACATTTGTTAAATTCTAAAATTTTGTGGTCGGAGTTAAAAAAACTAAGCATTTGATTAAAAAATCACAATAAATAGAACATGGTAACAAATAGAACAATTAAAGATAGATTTTCACTCTATTATATTTTGAAAAAGAGACAATAGTTATTGGAGGGAAAGGAAGCTAAAGACATTTTTTTTATTCAACTAATTTTGCAACACGGGATAAGGAGCTAGGGAGGGAGAATGAATAAATTAGATTTATAATCATTTTTTTATAAAGAAACTGACCATGTGATCGCTTCTGTTATTTTTTTTTGTTTGTTTTTGTTTATAATTTTTTTTAAAACTAAATAATAATCAATATAAAGTCTATGAATATATAATGATTTATCTTGTATAATATGTGTCATATATTGTGATTGTGTTTTTATTAATGTAACATGTAAATGCTAATGAGTTTAATTTGGTATAAATTCTTGAATTTTGTCAAAACTAATATAACTTGTATATTGATATTATATTAATGATTGGTCTAAACCTAAAAATACTTATAATACAAGACTATCTTATGAAAACATAATTTTAGTCTTATGTCACTTAATATTTCTTATAAGACTTAATAGTTAAAGACATAAAACAAGAAAAATATATTAAGGACGATGACACATTAAGCTAAAACAAATTTTTTGTTTTTTTTTTTTGCTTAATTTTGTACTAAGTTTTAAGGAAAACTTTTGAAGGATGGAAACTAACTTTGTAAAAGGCTAATTTAGTCTAATTAAGTTTTAAGTTTTAAAGAGATTAATGGGTGGTTTGAGGTGCAACTGAGGTATTGAAGAATAAATTAGTCTAACAAAATGTGTATATTAAATAGCTATATTTCATATTTTTTTTATCGTTAATGATTTTAAGTATTTCATAAACAATGATTTTTGTTTTTAACCATGATATTAATAGAATTAGAATATTTTTTCGTCATAAATAGTAACTAATCTATGGTGTGAAACTGTGAATTATGAACACACAAAATATTTTTTTTATATTCAAAACTAAATTTAAATTTTTAACTACTCGATTAAAAGATATAAAGTTATTGGCGGTTGTATCTAACTGAACACTCGTAGTTTGGGTGGTTGACAGGGACTACCACAAAGAGACCTAAATGTTGAGCAGGTGAGTCCACGTAAATTATTTATTTTAAAGAGAATCTAATTCAATGTTTACCTCTCCGTCCGGTATACCACTTAAGATCACAGCCATTTAATTTTATAATATTTCATCTGATGGTTCAACTCTGTTTCCTACCGTGGGAACCTTCCAGGCTAGAACCCGTCTCTAAGCTCAAAACTAACAAGAGATTTTGGGTCAGGCAAGTGTGTTTGTCGTTGTCACGTTGTTCCCTTTTTTCTGGGTTGAATTTGAGATGAGATTTCGGAAGTGATCCTCGTACAGTACACTTAGGAATTCAATTGCACCAAATTTAGCTCTTATTCAATGCTTAAAACATCACCCATTGTGAGAGACTAAAATGAGAAGAATCTTACATCATTCATGCCTAAACAGTGAATAGAATATTTGCAGCAGTGAAACACATCCTCCTCTGGTTAATAGTAGTAGGCAAGCTACAAACTAATTCGTATTGTCCTTCTTTTCAGTAGTTTGCCAACTTCATTTTGCTCTTATATCCAATGAGCAATGGGATAGATGCATAGTTTAGTGTTACTCTATCATTTGTTCCATTTTAATTAATGTCTTGCATGGTGTGATCTGCTCTGTACATCTTGTGGATTTGGTTGTGAATTTAGTCATATTGCTTGGTTGATTCTATAGCTGCCCATAACATGTTTGATATAAGGTCTGAATCATAGAAACCTTAGTATGGTGTTGAGAATGTTTCTTCAGAAACTGTGGCCCCTGCGGCCATATTTCGCGGGCTGAACTGTTTATTTATTAATTATTTATTTATTTTCAAATTCAGTGGCCTTGCTTGTTGCTAGCATCCTTTGGGAGGTTGTAGTTACTGCATGATTTAAATAATGACATGAACTGTTTCCTTTATTGTCGATGAATGTCCAGGTCGTAACAATAATAGTCTGTGATGGTGCTGGAGTTTTTGAGTTTTGCTCTTTTTTTTTTTTCTTTTTTTTTTTTCCAGATTACTATTCAGCCTAGAATCTTCTTGTTCTCGGAGAACAGCTGAGCCTAGCTTTTAAATTTTAGTGTCATGGGGTTTCTAAGGTTTATGAGAAGGAATAATTACCCCTTCAAGGACAAAACTCGAAATAGAGCATACGCAATTCAGCATATGCAACACAGAGGCTTCTCAAAGGATGGAGTTCTTAATGGCAATGATGTGGTACATCCAATTCTGATCATTGGCGCAGGACCTGTGGGTCTTGTTCTCTCTATTCTTCTCACAAAATTAGGTAAACCTTAAAAGTTAAGGCATTCCTATTTATTAATGCCGACTGCTTGTTGTAGATGTCATAGTCATAGACGTGACATATTGTTTTTGGCATCCCAATGTAAGGTTCTAAGTAACATTGGGCACTCCTTGTTATACATGTCTGGAAATGCTACAACAAATATGACAAGATATATCATGTTTTAAGTTGGTAAATTTTGAATGACAGTAATTTCTATTTCTTCATTGTTGTGTATATTTGTTGAAAGAATTATCTGTAATAGATAATGCAAGGTTTTAAAATGAGCTATGGAGTTTCCTTTGTTAATTTGTTGTTGCTTATCGGAGAATGCAACAATAGTGGTAAATAACAATATGAAATTATGAATAATGTTTTCAGTTTATAACTTGGTTATGGAAAGTAATTTTCTTCTTCTCTATTGTTTATACATATGGCATAAAAGAATATCTGAACAAATAATGTTTTATTTGAGTTTCTTTTAATCTTTTTGATGTGCTGGTCATGCTACTTTTATAGTTTTATTAAAAATGTGGTTAATGATGTACTCCACATTGTAATTTTTTCTTCTTATATCATCAAATTACTCCATGCTTTCATTTGTGTTGATATATATATACTGTTTATTATAGGTATTAATTGCACAGTTTTGGAGAGAAACAAGGCATTTTCAAAACATCCACAAGCACATTTCATCAACAATCGGTCCATGGAGGTTAAAAACATTTTTTTGATAAATTATTTTATTTCCAAAAAAGCATTATGATTTATTTTGATAAGTGGTGCCATTTTAGATATTCCGCAAAATTGATGGCCTTGTTGAAGAAATTCAAAGGTCTCAACCACCAGTAGATTTATGGAGGAAATTTATATATTGTACTTCCCTCTCTGGTTCAATTCTTGGATCTGTAGATCACATACAACCTCAAGGTGCTATTTCATAGTCCATGAGAGCCGATTTCCGATCTGATAGCAGTAGAAAGATTACTATTTTCAATGTGGTTTTGACATTATTTATGCATGGCCTTCAAAATATGCAGTATATCAACAAATAGACTACATGATATTGTTCATTTTGGTCAACATTGATCTTTGGAATATTCATATATATTGTATTTATTATCAGATCTTGAGCAAGTTGTCAGCCCAGTCTCTGTTGCACACTTCTCACAGTACAAGCTGACTATGTTACTACTCAAGCAACTTGAAAATCTAGGCTTTCAAACATGTGCACCTGAAAGCTTGGGAGGAAAGGAACAGTCTTGTGATAAAAAGATAATGATGGGCCATGAGTGTGTAGCCATTGATTCCAGCAATGACTTTGTAACAGTGACTGCATCTTCTATCATTAAAGGGAAGCGTGTAGAACAGAACATTCACTGTAACATCCTTATTGGTACAGATGGTGCAGCAAGTACTGTAAGAAAGCTTGTAGGAATAGAAATGAGAGGTGAGAAGGACTTGCAAAAACTTGTCAGTATCCATTTCTTTAGTAGAGACCTTGGACAGTTTTTGCTTAAGGAGAATCCTGGTATGCTTTTTTTTATCTTCAATACTGAAGCTATTGGGGTCCTTGTTGCTCATGATCTCAGGCAAGGGGAATTTGTATTTCAGGTGTGATATGATTTACATAAAATGCAAAAATGTCATCATATTGTTTTACAAGTTACAACTGATTTATTGTGATTCAAATTATATTATTGCAGATACCCTTTTATCCACCTCAGCAAACAATTGAGGATTTCAGTCCAAAGGTATAATTCATCCGTAACAGATTGTTTATAGCCTTTTTAAATATAATCTGTCATAATATAATGGATAAAATATATGTGCTGAAGTTAAAATTTAGAGTTTGTAAGTGGGCAACAATATATTGTAGTATGCATATAAACTAACATTATGATATTATTCATTCCTGTTGACATGCATAATACATTTGATTTGTTTTAGGCATGTAAGAAATTAATCAGCAAACTTGTTGGTCGAGAGTTTGGAGATGTAAATGTAATTGATATAAAGCCATGGATTATGCATGCTGAAGTAGCCGAGAGGTTTATATGTAGTGGCAACCGAATATTACTTGCTGGTGATGCTGCTCATCGTTTTCCTCCTGCTGGTGGATTTGGTTAGTTGCTCTATATTTATTGAAGATTGTAGATGTCAACTAGTGTACGTAAAAATAATCTGTAATATATGACTTTTTATGTATGCAAAATAGGGCAGAATCTGGATTTTTCCTCTTTTTGCTTGGGAACATGACAGTCTCACAGGAAGTGACAGATTTAAGTTTCCATGTGCAGAACTTGGTTGTATCTTTCTTTTTCTATGCATGGCATTGCCATTTCCCATATTCTGAACTTTTACTTTTAAGCTACTCGTCAGATATATTACCTTTAATGTTGTGTAAGCTTAGATTAGTTTATGTTGTAAGAATTATGTCTAAAGCCTATACGTACTTAATATCATAAATAAGGAATAAAAATATACACTAAATTAATGAGGCAATATTAAAAAGAAATAAAGAAAGAAAGATAAGTAACACTGTAGATTAAGTTTTAGGTAATCCATATTTTTTTTATGAGATGTTTATTTGATCACTTTTTAAATTATTTCTTACAATACGCTTAATCATCGCTTAAATTTATTTTATTAAGAAATTAATTGGACATGACGTCTTATTAATTTCAAAGTCTCAAGACACAAGTTGTGACAACTTTGTAGTTCTAAGCTTTCTCCTAAAAAAATGAAATATTTCATAATCGTTAATCTAGATTAAGTCATGGAAACAATATTTTTATTCACAATAAAAAGGAGAGGACTTTTCTAACATTTTGTTTTAAAGGGAGTGAATTAATTAGATGAAACATTTATTTAATCCTAGAAACTTGGAAGTACAAATTGTGATAATTTGATAGTTCTAAAACTTCTCTCTAGAACTTTAAAACATATTAAACCATTTTATAAAAAGAATTAGCTAAGGAGTACACCTTAGTTGGTTCCATCCTGCAGGACATGTGAATTGTGACAGTTCACAGATCCTACAGTAATAATAATATTAATAATATCTATCATAATAAAAAAGGATTATTTGAATGTAATATTCTCTTGATTCTAGAGCTTAAAGGTATAAGTCGTGACGATTTGTCATCTTAAAGTCCTTATTTAAATTCAAAATTCGGTTAAGTATCAAAATATAGTGTTAGAATATTCAATATAAATATTTGAAATATTGTACCAAAATTTTATTGGAGAAATGGTTAATTAGATGTGACATCTTTTTAACCTTTGAATTTAAAATACAAGTTGTGACAACTTGATATCTTTAAATTTTTTCTCCAAAAACAAAATGAAGTATATATATACAATGAAAGCAAATAGTCTCGCACGTTTTGTTTTAAAAGTCACGTTCTAAAGATATATATATAAAATGAAAAGCAAAGAAATCATACCTGGAAGATTTTCCCACTGTCACTGGTGCACGTAACTCCCATCTATGTTCATCCATTTATTTAATTATTCATTGTTTTAAACATGTTTTACTTTTAAGCTACTCGTCAGATATATTACCTTTAATGTTGTGTAAGCTTAGATTAGTTTATGTTGTAAGAATTATGTCTAAAGCCTATACGTACTTAATATCATAAATAAGGAATAAAAATATACACTAAATTAATGAGGCAATATTAAAAAGAAATAAAGAAAGAAAGATAAGTAACACTGTAGATTAAGTTTTAGGTAATCCATATTTTTTTTATGAGATGTTTATTTGATCACTTTTTAAATTATTTCTTACAATACGCTTAATCATCGCTTAAATTTATTTTATTAAGAAATTAATTGGACATGACGTCTTATTAATTTCAAAGTCTCAAGACACAAGTTGTGACAACTTTGTAGTTCTAAGCTTTCTCCTAAAAAAATGAAATATTTCATAATCGTTAATCTAGATTAAGTCATGGAAACAATATTTTTATTCACAATAAAAAGGAGAGGACTTTTCTAACATTTTGTTTTAAAGGGAGTGAATTAATTAGATGAAACATTTATTTAATCCTAGAAACTTGGAAGTACAAATTGTGATAATTTGATAGTTCTAAAACTTCTATATTCAATAAAATCTTTCTTTTCTTTCTCTTTCCTAATTCATGGTTCCTAACAATTCGTATCCATTTTTATAAATATTTTATAATTTTCTAAATTTAGAAATGAAAAATCAACCTTTCTCCTTCCTGTACAAACTCCTCCGTTCTCATAGGCCCTAAGGAAAATGAGAGCATTCAAATCCAATATGGGAAAGGAAATCAATTAAGACATTGAACAATGAACATGCTGGAAATATCTAGCATCACAAGTGCATGCTAGTGTTAGATGGAGGAGGTTGTTTAGTGTGGTATTGGTGCTTCAAGTAGGGGCTTAGACATATCCATGTATTTAGGATGAATTAACTAAATGATAGGTACTTGATTAAATTTCTGCGTGTGGATATTTTATTATAATATTTGTTTCAAAAATCTTTGGCACAATAATTCTGTAAATTATTTTCAAAGTGACTGAATAAAAGTACACTTGCATGAATGTGGTTAACCACATCAAGTGATTTTAGAAGATCTTAGAGTCAAGATTGATGTACTGTTCTACTTTTGGGAATGCACAAGTCTGCACTGAAGGTGATGGTTAGGTACAATCCTGCTCAAAGTGACAGCTATAGGATTCAAACGCACCATATTATGTTGATGTAAATTAAATTAAGCAATTTGACATGAAATATTGATGTGGTATTGCAGGAATGAATACTGGCATTCAGGATGCCCATAATCTTGCCTGGAAAATTGCTTCTGTGATTAAGGGTATTGCCCCATCTTCGATGCTAAATACCTATGAAATCGAACGTAAACCGGTAGTGCTTTATGTCCTGTTACATTTTTTGAATGTATATTTATATTTATATTAATGTTAGATTAACTGATCGACATTAATTGCTGTCTATTATTGTCAGATTGCTTTATTCAATACAAGATTAAGTCTAGAAAACTATAAAGCTGCCATGTCTGTTCCTGCTGCACTTGGTCTTGATCCAACTATTGCAAACACAGGTACACAAAATTATAATATGTAATGATTGTTTGCTTCATCATCAATCTGGTACTCTTACAAACAATTAAATACAACACTTTCATTGGTAACTTAACTGACATTTAAATGTTTCTTCCTCATTTAATTGCAGTACATCAATTTATTATTAATGGGATTGGTTCCATCTTACCATCCGGATTGCAGAAGGTAGCTTTGGACGGAATTTTTGGTATAGGACGTGCACAGGTCTCAGAATTTGTCCTAAATGAAAGCAACCCTCTTGGATCCTCAAGGTTGGCTAAGCTAAGACGTATATTGGAAGAAGGAAAAAGCCTTCAACTTCAGTTCCCTGCAGAAGATCTTGGTTTTAGGTATCACTGAATAATTTTCCACATTTGTATTGTTGAGCTATATATCACCATTCTCGTATTTCTCTAGCTCTAGCTGTTTCTTTAGTTATAAATTTTTATTTATATATTAGTCAGTCAACCAAATTTATGGTTAGCATCATTTATAAATTATAATCATGTGTCATTTCATTTATGTTTTTGATGGATAGATCATATGATGCATGAGCCTTTGTGGGTGCCTATCTAACTCAGAATTGTTGAACTTAGGTACCTACAAGGAGCACTTGTGCCAGAGAGTTATAATGTTGAGAGTCCTCCAGAAGTATTAACAGGGCGTAGGAGGGACTACACCCCTTCGGCACAGTCAGGATCAAGATTGCCTCATATGTTTGTGAGAGTAAACCCATTAAGTGAGGTTTGTGGCACAGTTTAAATATATAATGCATAATATTCATGTTAAGCTAATGATTAAAGAGTTTACTTTTATTTTAAATAATACCAATTTGCAACTTAAATATATAACAAAAACTATTTTTCCTTCATTGGAATTTGGGATCGCTGGTTTCAGGTTTAACTAGTGGATTTTTACTGATTTGAAACATCAAGTTTCTTCTTTTGTTGTTAAAGTATGAGGAATGTTTTGTAGGAGACTGTTTCTACACTTGATCTTGTGTCAGGAGATACAGTTGAGTTCATTCTCATCATAGCACCTGTGGAGGAATCTTATCGTCTAGCCTGTGAAGCATTCAAGGTGGCTGAGGAACTAGAAATTTCTCTCAAAGTGTGTATTTTTTGGTCTACTGATTCTGCTGAAGGACTTGAGGAAGGAAGTAAAGCAGCACTATCTCCTTGGAAGAATTATACAGATGTTGTTGAAGTTCGGTCATCAACTTCAAATTGGTGGGGTATGTGTAACATCACAAACAGAGGGGCTATTTTAGTTAGACCTGATGAACATATTGCCTGGAGTACAAGTTCAGGAGTTGCTGGGGATCCTAGAGTGGAAATGCAAAGGGTTTTTTCTGCTATATTGGGAGTACACCGTTATAATAAATAAATATACAGATCATTTTGTATTGATTCTTACAAGAATATTCCTGGCGTACAAGTTCAGGATTTGCTGGGGATCCTAGAGTGGAATGCTTTTGCTATACTGGGTGTACACTCAAAATAAACAAAATACACACATGATTTGTATTGATTCTTTGAAGAAAATTTATATTTGTCTTTTTAAAGTAGTTCAATTTTTATGGTCACAGTCACATATTCTAACAATGAAAACAACCTCTGCAAAGACATCTTACTATTTAGACTGAATTTCAAGTGCCATTCTATAAAATGTGTATTTTTGGAACCAAATTCCGTGTATTTTACGGAGTTTTCTTTGGATGTAGAACCATTTATCGTGGATTTTCCTTGCTACAAAAGATCGTAGTTTGTTGCTAGGAGAGACTACAAATTACCGCGTCATTCCGAATTTTGGTCGAAAACACTTCCATATTTTATTTTGTAATGTAGATGGTTCCGATTCCATCTAGTGTATGTCAGATGAGGTTTAAGTATCAGAGCTAAACCCTCTTCCCAAAAGCAAGATTTGATCATTTAACTCACTCTACTAATTCACCTACCAATTTGTACTACCTTTTATTATTAAAACATAGGAGATTTATGTTAGCTCATAACTAAAAGCAGTACTATGCAATTTTGAAAATTAGAATATAGTACACGACTGAATGCAATGTGTAAACAAAGTATGTTAGACATCAATGGTTAAATCATAAACAATCTTGCGCTCTATATTATGGAGACCGTCGTGAAAATTATTTCTATCAGAAATGCTCCAATACACCAAATTCGATATTACTATCTATTTGTAAATAGGTTGAAGAACGTCAAATTAATAACTAAAAAAATTACTTTTGACTGAGGGAAAAAAAGGAGAAGCACCTGTAATATCACAGGAGTCGCAAATAACCAGGATAACGGAAAGAAAAATGACTTCAAGTTGAGCCTATAAAAAATCCATTCCAAAATTATAAGACAAACACTTCCATTCTATCAGTGTAATCAATACAATTCAATTTTTCATCCCCATAGTTGACATGAGAAGGTTAAGTGAAGAATGCAGGCTAGAATCTGAAGGAACAGGGAACAAGGCTCGAGCAGAGAGTGTTTTTGATTACTATACAAGGTTCCTCTAGGGATGCCAACAACGGTATCCTCAATTTCAACTACTAGTCATGGTTATTAGATAGCCAATAGCTGCTGTTACAAGTCCAAGTATCCCCCCGGCAATGACCTGCAGTAAGTAATGAGAATATTAAAAAAGAAAACCACCATTTGTAAAAGAAGTGGCCAATACAACGAAGATCAAAATTCACACACTCATATCATGAAACCATTTTATCTATAATACTGGAATACCTATTTGACCTTCCTTTTTTCCCAAGGAATATACAAAATATATAACCCAAGGAGAATGCTATGACCATAAATGAGATACAAATAGACTTGAAGAACTGGAAATAATTCAAACCATAAGTGAAGCAGAGCCTTTCCAAAATATGTGTCAATGAAAATGCTATAACCTTGTTAATGATTTGAAACCATCGTTTTGGCACATTATTATCTATGTATGCTGTATGGACAGGCGCATCGTTCACTTAGTACTACCATGTAAGATATTATGAGTATGATAGAATCCTGATATGTATATATATCCCAAGGAAAATCTCAGCCCATAACATCTCAAAGAAAGCATAATATAACATGATAAAACATAGACTTTAATGTTCATTAAAGACAAATAAGGGTTTGGATCCCCTCATGCAACATTTTTTTTCTTAAAAACAACAAAGATAGAATTTAAATAATAAAAAAAGGTATGGAATTTTGATAGTGGGGACTTTCAATGTAGAAAATCTAAGTGAAAATCTCAATTGAGAATCCATTCCTGACAAATAACAATACAATCATTACCTAGTTTTCTCAATCAGTAGCAGTCACACATTGAGTAAACAACATAGTGCTCTTTAATTATATTTTAAGCATAAACAGTTATCATACATCAAAATCCCTATGTTTACAGGTTTCAAGAAAATAATGTCATTCTATGAAGTTTACAAGCTAATGACATGCTAAATTCCTTTGACATAGACCCATCAAATAATCATAAGAGGCAATCAAATACAAAATGGTGAACCTGAGGAGGGGTATGCCCAAGAAGTTCCCGGAGAGGTCTGCTTTCAGGCAGAGGATGTTCAGCAGGAAGTTCGAACACAATTTGGTTCAAAAGCTGCAAAAATCCAGTCATTTAATTTCAGTTAAAAGAAATTGAAATCAACCAAAACGAAAAAATAAAAGACATCTTTCTCTGTAACCGTAGGCAAACAGAAAAAGCTTCTGTGGCCTTTCAAATCTCATGTTTGGCATGAAAGAATTGCATAGGACAGAATATGGTGCACAAGTAAAGCAAAGACAAAGTGTCCTAGGTGAAAAATAAACTAACAACACAAGGCAACAAACCTCTGCTTGGCGTCCCGCTTGCAACCTTACACCAGTAGCATCATACATCACCTGCAGGCAATATCCCATATCAGAAACTTGTCCAACCATATAACCTATGAAAAATTTTCTCATTGTCTAACCTAGTTTTTAGGACATCAAATCCTTTCATAACAGCGACCATATTTGGATATCAAGGCATAAGTAGAATGAAATGAAATAAAGCTACCATTCTTTTGTTTGGATATTTTAAGGTAAAACAAAAATAAAAGATCTAGCTAGTACCCTCCAAACTGGAAGGGAAGAAAAGGAGGAGTATTGAATTACGTGGCTTGGAATGTATCCCCCATTAGTTCCATTCCATTTCATCCTATTTTTTGAACTATTGAACCAAGTAACATTTCAATTCATTCCAGTCATTCCTTTTCTATCAATCCAAACATAAGCCATGCAATTGCAAACTACACAATACACACACATGTCCATTCCCACAAGTGTAGACATGAAAAATAGAATAGGTTGAATTGAATCTCCAACATAATACCACACTTTGTAACAAAGAAAAAACACCAAGCCCTTCATGAAATCTCCACAAAATGATTGATTTGAAGAACAAAGACATACAATAAGAGCCAGAACCAAAGCTGTAGCAAAAAGAGGCCCTCCAAAGCCTTCATGGAACCCAATTGCAGCGGCAAGAGCAGTGACAGTAGCTGAATGGGACGAAGGCATTCCACCAGATCCAATAAGTTGCTTCGGATCCCATCTTTTTTCCTTATACCTTCACAATAACAACATTAATTAACCAACCCTCAATTAACCATAGTTAAAATTGACATATAATTAGCCAAACCAAAAACCTCAAAAATAGAAGAAAAAAAAAAACTTTTTTTTTTCTAAACTATTGCATTCAATTGTGATCCAAACCCAGCACTAGACAATAGAAAGGAAAAAGGAACAAACCAGGCGGTGAAAAACTTGATGAATTGTGCGATGGCGAAAGCAACAATGGCGGAAATGAGAGGGTAATTGCGCATCATTGAAGACGACGTCGTAGCTGCCACCTCACTCATCCCCTTTCTCTCTTTATTTATCTAATGCTAATAATTTGTTTAATTACTGTTATTAATATTAATTTTAAACAAGTCACCGATGTCTTTCCTTTTTCTTTTTCTCTTTCTTTTTTCTTTTTTTCTTTTTCTTTTTCTTCCTTGGAACAAGAATGGTGGGAAAGGTTACAATAGAACAAGAACAGGGTTTGTTCTGAGTTCTGAACTAGATGTTATTATTATTATTATTATTACACTAACCAGAAAATAACGGTCTTGTCTTAGCTTTCTCAACTGAAATTGCTTCAGTTACGTTTAGAATATGCTTATATTATGCCATTCTCTTATGCCCTTGTTGAGTTGAGCCTTTTCTTTATTATTTTTTCTTGTATGTACTTTCCCGCAACGCAACTGTTTCAGCAAATAAAAATGTTCTGCATTGACCCAAAATTTGGAATTTGGAAATTCGTTTAAGTTGAAAGTTCTTGGCCAATAAAACTTAGAACCACGAAATCTCATCTAAAAGAATTGGGGAAATAGTTTCGACGAAAAGAAAATTTCATTTTCATTCCCTATGCCAAATGCTACCTTCAAGTGAAATGAAATGAAAAATGTTATACAAATGTTTTGACTAACGAAACAAAACTATGAACTCCTTAGGACACTTTTAATATTGATTTACTATATAAAAAATGTTGACAAGTATCCTTAGAAAACGAGTTAAGAAATTAAAATTAGAAAGTGTTTCGGGGATAATATTATTAATGTATTTCTACTGTGATTTTCGATAAATTCACTATATTTTTAATAAAAATAATAATTATCGGTGATTTCAAAAGTAACCTATGAACGAACATTCAGGCAGAACCGTTGTTACTTGATGAGAACTCCCCCCATATTGCTATCAATGTCTACATGGGACCCTTATATATTTCGAAAACATTTAGTATAATACATCATATACATATATATACATATATATATATATATATATATATATATATATATATCCAATGTTTATTTTCTAAAATAATTTTAGTCATGTGATATAATATATTTAACACTTCCACGCTCCTCCCTTTGTTAATGTTTAATACACTCATTCTCAAAATAAGTCATTTGATAAATTGTCTAAGGTCAATGCTACAATGCTGTCGGAGTGAGGTGCGAGAAAAAACAAATAAAGTAGTGGACAAACTGTTCATTGACGTGCTGCACGTGTATATTTGTTCACTCACTCGAGTCAAAAGGAAAAGGAATTGACTAGCAACAATGTAATGAATATGAATGATTTTCTACATCACACTTCCTTTAATGGATCACTTAATTGAGATAAAAATAACAAGCAAGAATGCAGCAAGTGGAGGGGGCACATCACAGTCCTCCAAAATGCCTTAACTTATGGCTTACCAACAAAAATAAGGAGGAGAAAAAATAACTTTACAATTATGTCAAACACAACGTGGCATGTGTTACAAAATATAGTGGAACCAACACAAACCAATTGGTAATGGTTATTAACTTATTATTCCAAACAGCCTTCAACCTAAAACCATAAATGTGCAAGCACTTGGCTTAGATCCCATGTATGTGCCAAAGGGATTGCAGAAATGCTGCCAGGAATTGTAAGCACAACCTGAACATTGATCTCTCACATTATGATGCAATTGCACTTTGATTCAAGCTTTTGGGGCCTCATACTATCTACCTTGTTAGGAAGCCCAACATTTTGTGTGAAAGACTCATCAATATTTTCATCATTCTCAGTCTTGCCAGAAGGGGTTTTGACATCAGTTTCCACCCTCCTCTGTTTGGTCTTGGCCTTCTGGGATTTCAAAGTGCGCCTGCTGAGAGGTCGGCCACGACTATCCTTTCTGTCAGAATTGGCTTTCCCCAATAAGGTCACTGTTGGTTCAGAACGTTCAAATGGGTCAGAACATTCCTTTTCCATCGCTATTGTTGCAGCCTTATAAGCAAGATCATGGACGATGGAACTGCAAAAAAGGATTGTATCTGTTGCCTCTTCAAATGTCAGGCTTCTAGTGCTGCGTGCACCTTGACACTCCACTGTAACTGTTGATTCCTCTGGCATCAAGAATTAAAGAACTATTAGAAATTGGTTATGTACTAACATTTTTTTCAACGAAAGTTTCCGCAGATAAAATATCAACCACAGAAGGCACAATGTACATAGAGAAGAAGAATCTTTTGCAATAGAAAATTGAAAAGGCATGCTTTGCTCCATGAACTTCATACAAGGTTGCCCCCAACAATAAAAATACAAGTTCAGCTATCATTGCTTGTGGAATTCTCACTAAAATAACCATAAATTACAATTGCATACTTTTTTATATATAACTAAAAAGTAGCATGAAAGACCAAAGAAAATGACCATAACGTGTTGAGGGCACACATAAATGAGCACCCGAATACAAAAAGTAAATATATCACTGATTTTACATTGCAGAAAATGAATCAAGATTTCAAAATATCCTATCTCTTCAAGACATTGCAGATTTACTGATATTAGATTGTTATTCTATTCATTGTTATATCCCATAAAATTGCTCAAGATTTTATGCAACCAATGTTGTATGCATAAAAAAGTGCATCTCTAATAGAAGAGTGAGAAACTATTATTCTCGTCTCAATAGTTATCAGTAAATATAATATCTTTTATTTGAAATTTCAATACAGTAAATATCATACCAATGCCATGGGACTCAGAGACATTGAACTCTGAAACAGAAGCAGCGTGACAATCGTTGGAAGGATTTTGGGCAGAAGGTTCCCGAAAGTCATCAAGGATGCTTTTATTCTCACAATAGTTTTCCCCTTCTATTTCTGATTCTGTAATTGTGGAACAGTTGGTTGTAACCAAAGCATCCAGTTCGTTATTAACATTTAAACACTGCACATCATGTTTCTCATGACTAGATAACTCTGGATCCTTAGCTGATGTTTCTGTGTCTGAGACATCCCCAGCATTATTTGGATGATCATCAACAATTTCATGTGAAATACAATCCCCATGATTTGGAAATGATGTGACTAAATTGTCATCAGACTGAACAGCAGCAGCCTGACTCAAAAATTCTGAGCTGCAAGCATTATTTACTCTACTACTATCATCATATTCAAATTTATCTTCCTCAACAACTAAATTGATGGAAGAAGCATCGATTATGTCTGTCACTGTATTTCCCAAAGCTTGGATTTCTTGCAAAACTCGGGGCACCTCTTCTACAAAGCCACCTTCTGTACTGCCAACAGTCTCTCGAGTTATAAGACCTAAATCATGGCGAGAATGGTTTGAAGCTCCAGAGAAAGATGAAGCAGTGCTTGGAGGCTTGATCCTCAAGTCATATCCAGAGTCCACATCCAACTTCCTGCCACTCAGCTGCCTTTGCACACGAAACTCTGTTTGCCTAGTTGAGCTGAGATCAATTGATGATGAAGCGGAATAACTACCAGGTCTCATTAAGCTTCTAAAACTGTTAATACTGTCTCTTGCAAGAGAAAGATCATCGTAAGATATGGTTGTGGCAGTAAAAGTCCTGCCCTGAAATACAGGTCCTTTATTGCTGCTAGACCTTTTCAGCAATACAGAAATGCCAGTGCCATCCAGGGGGTCCATGTTCAAATTAGGGCGATCACTGCAGTGATGCTGATCCCCATATTCACTATCAGGATTCATGTAATCAACTCCAGATTGGTTCATCTCTAGCCGGTTGTCAGATGTCTGCCTACCTACCTCCGCCAATGAATTTGGAAGAGAACTGTTTTGTGAGTGATCCTGGTTTAGTTCACTACATGAAGTTTGACTTTCCTCAGCATCCTGTTCACCAGGAAACCTCAAGTCACCCACATTTGTCTCTTCAGGCAGTTCAGATGCAATGGCAACCATTAGTTGGTTTGTTTTAGATAGTGATTTTTCTTCTTTAGGGATGTCTGTTGTAATCAATGAAGGGTCTTCAGATGCTGCCAAAGTTGTCTCAGGGATGGTGACCCTCAACAATGTGGTTTTCCTGCTGCATTCTGGACAAAGCCCAATATTCTTCTCAGCTTGACTAGTGACCTCAAAAGAACAACCACAATGAGAACAGAGTGCTGTATTTTCAAAATTGCCAGTTTCAGAAATGTCACCTCTGACATGTGTAATTTCTGAACTTTCATTGACTCTAGTGTCAATATGAATGTGGGAAATAGAACCCTCAGATTCAATTAGACTAAATACAGGCTTGGGGTCTCTGGTTTGATTATGCAGGATATCCACTGATTCCCTATTAATCTCTTGCTCAATTTTTGCATTTAATGCATCAATCTTATCAAATGCAAACACTTCTTCATGTATATCAGGATATAATATCCTATCAGCTTCACTTGCCATATCATCTTGATTATGCTCACTCCCTTCAGTATCCAGTGCAAAGGTTGTTCCTTGATCAGAGCTTGCATTGCTGCTTGTTGTAACAGATGAATTCCTAGATACAAGGGAACGATGTGCAGAATTTGCTTTTCCAGCATAAAAAGTTGTACTCGGAACACTGGATAAAAGTGGCCTGAACATGTTCTGAGGAGTTTTTCTATCCTGCATAGCATTTTGATGATCGCAAACAAAAGTGAGTATTTTTATTAAATCTGACCATTGTTAAGATATGTTCAAGAAGTAATCATGCAATAGGGAATCGGGAGATTGCACAGATCTAGGTCCAATAGAAAACCAAATTTTCCTTATTAATATGTTCACCAAACATTAACCTCTTTGCTACAAAGATCAGCAGAAGTTTCAAAGTGTCAACCAACATAAAAACCCAGTTAAAGAGATTATGCAAGCACAAGTATGTTATATGCAGGTCTCCATTCCCCAAACAAATTTGAAGATAACTTAATAAGAAGCCATTAGCTGGGAGTAGTTGTCTAATCAAATGTAATTTAAAAATAAATGTACATAATAGGACGTGCATCATAAATCAAGCAAAAAAATGTAGATATTTTGAAGATTTGCGGCAGGCCAAAAAGGATAGTTGAATCAGTCAACTTTCCATTTTGTAACCTGGTACACATCAGAAGGGACGTGTAAACAGGAGACAGTGTGTTTGTGTGCATAGGAGGATGGAGAGAGTGTTGGCAGAGGCACAGGGAAACTACCTTAAAGGAACTAATTCTCAAATTGCATGAAAATTAAACACTTCATGATTGCCTGCCAACAAATTGGCAGCAAACCAAATAAACTGTTTTACGTGATTAGATGAAAATAATACCATTTGCCGGATAGCTGAATCAAATGATCTTTTAGGAGCAGAACTTGGGGACACAATCCTGGCTGATTTCTTGGAAATAGCAGGAGTTTTGTTGGTTGAAAATGAACCACCCCTTCTTGAGCTCAATCTGTCTAAGCTACCCGCTGTCATGGATTGCAGAGAGTCTAGATCATCATCACCGGATGATGCAATAGAACCTTTGCTGCGTGAGCTCAATTGGTCTCGATCATGACTATGAAAAGAGCTACTACTCCTAGAAGCAGTTGGAGACATTGATTGCCTACTGACTTTGGATGTAGAGTCCCTACCATTTCTGGATGCAGGAGATGAACCCCTCACATATGATGCTGGTCGATCAGCCAATGAAGTACGAAGATTGGGAGGAGCTTCAGAAGAAAAGCCAGGAATATTAGTTTGCCATGCCCTTATCTTTGGTGACGTAGAATTTCCACGATTTGTCTTCACTGGGGAAGTTCCCCTAACTCCTTTAACTGGGGAAGTTCCCCTAACTCCTGATGAGACAACAGAACCACTGGAGCCAGTGCTCATCCTTCGGGGAGTATAAGTGGAATACTTGGAAGCAGGTGTCATGGGCTTACTTGGAGGTGGAGATGGTCTTCTAGATGGAGTGGCATACCGTACACTTGGGGTTGGACTGGAATTTGGCACCGACGAAGGCCTTCCCCTTGATTGCAATGTATTAGTTCCTGATCGAGGGGATGGACTTAAACGATTTGGACTTGCACTACCCCTACTGCTTCGGTAACTTTTATCCATCTGAAAAAAAAGGGCATCAAACATAGGATTAATGATAAGTATAAGCACAATTAAAGAAATTCAGAGGAAATTTTTTCCTAAAATTATAACTACGCACAACATAACTATATAAATGTATTCAAAAGCTCACCGTAGAGGATCTTGATATGGAAATGGGTTTACTCTGAGGCCTTCCTCTGCTTGCAAAACTAGTCATTGATGGCTCATCATCTAACGAAGGAAACAGTGGTGTGTCTGGGGGTGTCAATAACCTTCAAAATGAATCATACGAGACATGGCATCAGTGAGGTAATCAGTAAAGACCAGAAATAAATTGATGCACATCAAAGTCTCAAGCTTTGTGATCAAGAAACGTGAATTATCATCCAACCACATTTATGCATTATTAACATGAAATAAAGATAACTGCAAATAGTTAGAATCAGAGTTAAATAATTTGAACACGACGCACAATCCAATTTAATAGCGGAAAGCTAAAACATATGGAATATGACCCACCAGTCGTAATCATTCTTTTCACCATCATTAAGCAAGTCACTGGTTTCTCCTCGACCAGGAATGGAGATTCCAAGCTTGACATCAGAAATATGTCTCAACTTTGTAGCTGTACAACAATACCCCAGACAAAAGGAAGAAATGCATGAATATCACCCAAATGCAGCAACCAAATATGTAAAATTATCTTCGTAGGATGCAAGTAAAGAAAATTACAGAACGATTCTTCCAAGTCATCAGACGCCTGAAGCAAAAAACTATCCTTCTCTCTGGTTTGCATTTCATTGAACAAAGCAAGATCATCATCCTTCTCCCGGAAAAGCAATCCACTTTCAAGACTGCGCCCCCGCTTGTGACCATCAGCTCTCGGCTCTCTCCCGGGAGAGTATCTCAATGCCGGGGAAGGCGGCATCTCCACAACCAAATGCAGTGTCACACGAGTGTCACCACCCCAACCTCTCCACACAAGCCAAAACAAAAAAACTTCTACACCCCAACAAGCAACCCATAATTAAGCTCAAACCTACAACAAATTCAAGCCTCAAACATCAATTTCAGCTAAAAAAAATACCAAAAACAAGCTTCTATCACCCATTTGCTATCTTTTCTATGTTCATTAGATTAGTTCAATACCCCCCCCCCCCTAAACACCCAACACACATTGCCATCACACTGAGTCAACACAAATGAAAGCAAATTCAGCATATTAAAAAAGTGACCCTTGGCAACAACTGTACCATTAAAAAATGCAATGCCTCAGCATTCATTCATTCATGTACAACAATTATCCAAAACCAAATTGAACCCAAAACCCTAGAACATTTGCCACTTACAGATCCCAATTGTGGGGTTGAGGGCTAAAAGGGAACCTAATTGAAACCCGAAATTGAAGACTGGGACCCACCAAGCCGCCATTGAAGTAGAAAGCATGATAGTAAAATTGAGTAGTAGTAGAAGTAGTATAGTAGTAACTAGTAGCAGTTGTGCTTGACTTACCAAATTCCCAAGTCAAAAAATTGCTTGAAAGAGAGTGTGGAATGTGGAAGAGTGCGCTTAAGATCCCAAGTTGGAAGATAAAACAGAGCTTAAATGCCAATTACAATGCGACGAATGTTGTATCAGACACTCGGATCTATAGCATTCATGGCTATGTCCGAGCGACCAAAGTACAGATCGAAAACTAGAGTGATCCAACGGTTGCAACAAACGCAATCAAATTAAAATAAAATGAAAATTTTGTTCCGTTATTCTCTCTCCTCACAAATTCTTTTCCTCTGCCTATTAAAAAACACTAACAATTATAGAGTGGAAAGAATAATACCCAAAACCTTTGTTGTCCTTGGATTTTGCTGCTTCCCTCAACAGCAAGCATCCAATTTCTTTCTCTCCCCCTTTTTTCTTAGTTTTTTTAATCTTTTGGAGTTAAACAAAGATACTTCCCAAATTATGTCAGATACGGAATGATATAAAGAGTGTAATTTTAAGTATTTAATTAAAATGTGTTTGAATACCATATGTTTCACAAATTTTATCTGTTAAAAATATTACAATTTAATTAATATAAATATTTAATTTATTTTGATTTCTCCTCCTTATTTGTTAGAGGAATTAAGGGACAAGCGTTCAATCTTCAATACACAGGAAAATTTTGTTTTCTCAATAATATAAGAATCTAAAGTTGAGAGTAACATTCTTAATAACTATTATTTTTCTTAAATTATTTTTTTATTATAACTTCCTATGTTTATATTTGTCTTTATGGGAGGAGAGAATCTACTATTCTCAATCTAAGAAAAAAAATTTATTGCGATATTTTTTTGATGCAACAAAATTAATTGATTTCCCATTAACATATAAAATATTTTCCAAGATTATTTATTATCTTTTAAACAAAATTTCAATCGTTCATAGTAATTAATGATTCACAATATGTACAATTTGTAATAATCATGGATATACATACACAAATTTCCTCTCACCTAAATCCCTCCCAAAATATATAATTTGCGAAATTATAAGAAACAAATATGGTATCTTTTAAACTATAAGAATTAAAAGGTAAAAATTATAAAAATATACAAATTAAATGAGTATTCAAATTATTAAAATATATTGTTTTTATAATTACTACCTTAAAGTTAAAGATTATACTTAAAATGATTTTCTTATTGATGAATAGTACAAAATTTATATATAAACGGTACATAAAAAATAATAATCTTTGATTTTAAGCAATTGTCAATATTAAAACATCATTTGACATTATCTAAATTCCTGGCTATAAACCTTAGCTGGGACAAAATTATTCGTACATGAAAGTTTACTTCGTGGTTGTTAATTATATTTAACAGATTCCAAACATTATTTGACAACTATTATACATTATTTTAAACAACAACTAAAACATTAAGAAATAAGAATCGAATATCAACTCAATCCAGTTTTATTGAGCTAACCGTCATTAACCTAGTTATAACAACAATTAAACAATACACATATAAAAGAGAGGACATAGAGAATAGAGACTATAATAATATGAAGACATAATGTAGCAATATAATATTACTGAAGTTATCAAACTGTTTTGACTCAGAATGGAATAATGACCAAGGAAAATATAATATTTGTAAAAGAAATTATATTTTATTTTGAAGTGTATTATATGAAATGGAAGCTTAAACAAAATAAACTCAGCAATCAATATTATACTTTATGTTATACCTATTATGCACTTTTTTTTCTTTCTATTATTTGCATCAAGCTTTCCATCGATAACGATAATTAAAAAAATAATTTATTTTTTTTACACCGAAAATTAATTTCTTTAAAAACGCAAGTATTATTGAAGTAAATTTTGTCTAGTTCAATAATTTTTTTATGTATGATCAAAAACTCAAACTTATATTATTATTATATTTAAGTAACCTAATAACTATCTATTAATTGTATTTGTAATGAATTTTTTTTGTACCCATACATTTTTTTTTTGCCAATAAAGAGTAATCAACAAGAGCAATTGGGAACCCATACATTTTTTTTGTACCCATACATTATGCACTTGTACACTATATGTGTATATAATTACTATAATAATTCATATTATGCTTCGCCAATAAGATTCGTTTGTAATGGGGCAATACTTCATTGAGGGCATATAAATAATTTTGTATGCTAACTATGTATCTATATTAAATTATAATTAAAAAAGTACAAAAAACTTGAACCAACCAAAATTATTTACTGAAATGTATAAAAGAAAGTGAGAAACGTATTAATTATTTATTTCATAAACATCTTGATCATCTTATGGTTTGTTGCTTTGTGCTCTGCCGTCAATAGTGACGTGAAGAAATAATCATTTCCTCTTGAAGATAAATTAGTAGGCATTAAGCACAGTAGCTGAAATGTATTCTTCATACACTTAATATTGGTGCCCTACGTGATCCATCTTTCATTATTTGTTACCTGACAATGGGTAACAATTTTAGTTACAAGTAAGGTTAAGAGTAGTGTCTGAAAGTGAAGAATTGGATAAAGTGCATGTAAAGTAGGCACGATAGGATTTTCAAGCAATTTTCAAAACCATCATTGAGTTGAGTATAGTATCTCTCTTCCTTTTTTTATATGATAAGTTTTTATAAATTATATTCCATCTGTCCGATAATGAGAGTCATATTTAAAGAAAAAATGAGTGTTATATTTTCTATGTAGTATTAAATATTAATTATCCACTTTTTTATTTAAGAAATGTACTATACGAAATATTTTTACTTTTTTTAAGAATTGTAAATTTAAAATAAGTGTTATACTTTCTATGTAGTATTAAATATTAATTACCCACTTTTTATTTAAGAAATGTACTATACGAAATATTTTTACTTTTTTAAGAATTTTAAATTTAAAATGTTAGATTTCCACATTTGATTTATCATCTAAAAATAACATTTCTAAAAAAAATATGTTTCCTATAAATATTTTACATAAATTTTTCATCAAATTGTTTCATAAATATGTGAAAATCTAATATATTTAAAAAAAAAATGTTTCATTATAGTTTAGGGTTTACCTTAATTTATTTAGTTAATGCAGTGAGAATCTACTATTTTCAAGTAATATTTATAAATATTCTTAAAAAATATTTATAATCAATCAATTATTTTTTTGAATTTATGATTTTCAAAAATCATGATTTTGGGTATGAAAAAAATTTCCTTAACGCTTCTCTGTATGTGTTTCATAACATTATTTATAAAAATGTTATTATGTTGCATTGTTTTTAATAAAAAAAATATATAAAATCAATTTTATAAAATTATCATTTTTTTTATCCATTTATTAATTTTTTTTATTTGTACAAAATAGTTTAGTACAACAGTTGTTGCAAGGTTATTTGTTTTTCTTAAATTTTAAATAAATGCCACTGATTTATCCTGGTAGATAGATGTCTTTTCGTTTTCCTCGTTTTTGATTGGCAGAATAAATTGGAATTTTACACGTTGCATCAATGCCTGTGAATTGTGATGCGTTCCAACTTGAAAACATGTTTGGACCATCCTATTGTATAGTATTATATTATGATTTATGAGTGGCAGCACACGAGCTAGCGATGAGATTGGAATTGATTACGATGAAATTCTGGGACAAATTATTGAATTTAACACCAAATTCAATAAATGTTACATTGAATTATTTTTGCACGTTTAAAAAAATCCCAAAATATAACTAGTGAGGGGAAAATTCGTACTGTATTTTGTTATCGTGTAAGTATTGATTAATGAATTAATGAGTAAATTATGATACCACAGACATTTTATGAGATTGCAAATAATTTCTACTAGTATATTTTCAACGTTTATAACATAGAATAGTATTTTTTAAATGATTAAGGTTAAGGATAATGTCTAAGGACTGTCAGTGTGTGAATAATTGAAGATAATTAATAAAGTGATAGAAAAAGCTGGAGGTTTATTCTTGTAAAACTTCAAGAAAGAAATTTTAGTATAATCTACTTAAATTAATAAATAAAATATTAAGAATTATAGTAAAGATATATTCATGTAAACGTGGATTTAATCAATAATATTGTTACACATACATACTATCTTTAGCTGTGAAAATAAATTTTCAACAAACGAAATTAAGTACGAATGTACATCAAATGTAATTATAAATCATTAAAGTTGATTTAGTAGTAAAAGTTGAGATAAATGTAGAAAGATTTAGATTCAATTTTTATTATTATCATCATAATATTTTTATTAATTAAAAAAATTACATGTACAGTAATCAATAAATGAGCCAAATTACCCATCCATCCTAACTAGAAATTCCACCAAACAAACATTGAACTATGACGATAAGTGGCATCATTTAGGTGAGTTTGTCAAATAAAGAAGTGGTATGTTCTAATTAGTTGTTTTGGAGTTAAATATTCTTCCTACTACCAAAATATAATATTTTTATGTAGTGCCTAAATGGGTGCCAAAGGAAAATTGGAGAGGAAAATGAATGAGGATGAGCCAATGAGGAGTGAATGGATTGTTGTGGGACAGTGTGGAATAAAGTTGAAATAACTAGAGTTATTATTAACCAATATATAGCTATTAGCTATGCACCCGATCTCCCTAACACGAAGATTATCGAATTATGTCACCACTTTAATTGGTAGGTGATGTAGGAAACTTAAAAGGATACATGCTAATGATTCAAGTGTTATCTCATCAATCATGTTTGGTTCTATACATGGTATCCTAAACTTTAAATTTTTCATTTTTTTAATGTAAGAAGACACATGAATAATTTTGTAGTCAACACATTAATCATAAAGTTATTACAAAGTTGATTTCATGATCTCTCTTTCCAATGTAAATGTCTTTAATTAAATAGTTTCATCCATGACTTGAATATGAAGTTGTAGCTAGAAATATTATTTACTATAATAGTTGTTTGAGTAAAAAAGAGTTACACATTCTTAATAGAAAAATATAAATATTCTTTCTTATATGTAATATTCAAAGACTTGAGAATAGTTTTTAAAATATAAAGATTAATTCAAAGTTAGTAAAAGAATTAAAGACTGAAGTGATGATTTACATTATTTTTATATGTTAATTTAGAAGAATATACAATTTGAAGAGCTCATAAATTTTGATCCAAAAACAGTTTATATATATATAATTGTAACATTCTTTAGAGTAAACTACATTTAATATTATATGAGATTTTGTAAGGTTACACATAATTTCTAACATCTCATGTAAGAAACACAATGTAATATTTTTCAAACAACTAAAGATTTAATATTAAAAGAGTGTAATATCATGTTTTTCAAACAATTAAAAAAAAGTATAAGAGTATAAAGAAGAAAGATTTTTCTGCATCAACATCACAAAACTTGAAGAGACATTATTCTATTTAGTATTGCTACATCCTTCGAAAACAGAGGCGAAAAATCCTCTGAATATTATTCGGATAATTTTTCGGCCTCCAATACAACATTTTTGGAAGATACAATGTTATAAGAAAATGTTGTATCTTTAAAAAATGAAGGCTGAAAAATTGTCTAAATAATTAAAAAAATTATTATTTTATAATAAATTTATTAAAAAATAATAATTTTTTAATCATTTAGAAAGTTTCCGGCCTTGTTTTTGAAAGCTGTAACAATGCTCTTTTCCTATTCTATTTGATTCCCTTTATCTCACTCTCTTTTTTTAGATGTCAAGTTGTCGATATGATGATAATCATCTGAATTTTTTTTTTTTTTGGTAAAATATCAATGTTCTTTAACTTGAGACGAACAGAGAAATCTATCATAATTATATACATAAAATATATATTTTGTGCTATTTCTTTATGTTAAATAACAAAAAAAAAAAATTGAAAAGTCAAAGATACATCAAAAACCCCATGTATATTTAGATTCCAGAGAAACGGAGAAAGATGAGAAAGGTACATTTGTACGGATATATCTAGCCAAAACTATAAATGGGTCCAAATCAGGGTGCGTGGACAAATAATTAAGTTTAAATGGAGGTGATAATTATATAGGGGCAATGTACACCAAAAGAAAATAAAAACTATGGAGGGTGCAAAGCCCTTAAAAAATGCAATTTGTAAATGTTATTTTATTATGAGCCAATACAATATGCTATAATTAATTAAGCATTAATGACTTAGGCTTGACACCTTTTCTATCTTAGCTACAACAATAACTTGAAATAACACAATAATTGACTATTTTACCATGTACTTGGATGTAAACTCACACAATTAGTTCTAAATCATCTGTAAAACTATTTATAGTTACAAATTTCATTTCAAAAGTAAGTTCATAATAAATTATTGTGTAAAAGTATTAACTTAATACAAAAGTTACTTTTAAGCTACCTTCTCTTAAAAAAGTTATTAGGGTTTAAATCTCATTAGACACTTTATACAAATACAAAACTTAACACTTTGTATACATGCTAGGAAAATAAAAGAAAAAACAAATGATCAAATGTTTTCTTTTATTTGAACGAGTAGAAGGAAAAAAAAAAAGACTTTAAAAAGATATATTTTTCCTTTAAGTCAAAATTCAAAATTTTATACTCTCCCTTACTTTCATGATATTAGATAGAATAAAAAAAGGGGGAAAATGTAACTTCCTGGTTCAGTATAAGATCAACAGATCCAGCTGAACATTATTAATTCTTTTAACAAAGAGAATGATACATTTTTTTTTTAATGTTCTTTACTCTTTAACACAGTATTTTTTATATTTTAAATTTATTTTACGTTATAAATTTGTTTCTTTCGTTATTATCATTTTCCGTTGACTAACACATGCACCTTCGCAGTTGCTTGTGGAAAATGTTTAGTGAAAAAAACACTACGTCAGAAGAATTTTGAGAGAGATATGCTTCTCGATGTTGACATAGCATAAACTAGAGTTTATATATACACGAATGCAAATAAATGTAAAATTGACTTTTGTTGTTTGGTTGCATCATAGATTTTGTTTTGGTGAACTGGTTGCATCATAGATCTTCCAAAAGAAATGCATTCGTCAATTTGTCATCATTCCTCTCTTCATGAACAATGTGTTTTTCATAAAAAGAAAAAGAAAAAGAAGGAACTATTGTTAAAACTTAAACGTTGACACTTTTTTTTATAAAGAAATTAAAAAAAAAAATCCCTTCTCTCATGTATTCTTCATAAACTGTGTAATGCGTATACTGTGGTTTTAAAAAGAAGAAGAAGGAGGAGGAAACATATAAAAAGAGATAGGAAATTTTTGGTTGACTAAATAATTTCTTAAAGTGTTAAATAATGAAAACGAGACATCCACTCAAATCCTATATCCTCTTTCTAAACTTTTCCTTTTTTTTTAATAAAAAATTGCAGTGACCTTACCTAAATCTTTTTTTAAATAATACATATATTTAATTTTCAAGTGAAAACTAATTTTCTTAACTTTTTTATTTAGATAACATATAAATTTTTTTATATAAGATAACACTATCATTAAGCGATAAAAAAATTATTAATATAAGTGTCAATAATTAGATTAAATTTTTTAAGATTTAAGATTTATAATTTTTTATTTTAATTTTAATTTTCAAATTATATCCTAAATAACATGTATGTTATGATTAATAAAATATATTAACTTCAATGAATAATTTTAAAGAACAAATTAAGAAAATATTATTTTTAAAATTAAAATATAAAGAATCACTATAAAAAAATGTTACATATAGTGACATACAAGAAATGTCATTATAGGTATAATATATGTAGGTATATACCTATTTAATATATAACTACATATAATTTTAGTGTTGATTTTGAATGAAATTTAACAACATATTTTGTGTGTTACTATAATCTATACTCACACTTTTTAATAATATACTAACACATATTATATTTATTGTATGGATAAAAGTAGTTTTTAGTGACATTTATTATATTACTATAGAATATGTGTCACAATATGACAATTTTTTTATAATGAATTTTTTCATAAATAAAATTGTTAAAAAAAGCAGTGTCATTTCCTATTTTTAATGAATTATATTTGTAAAAAAAAAACAAATATATATATATATATATAATTGACAAATAATTATAATTTACTAACAAGAAAAAACACTGCGTACTTCCATTGTATTAAAATGATAATAATTAATAAATTAATTTATATAAAAATGAAAATTAAAAGTAGTTGTTAATTGAAAAAAAAAGTAAAAAAGAAAAAGAAAACAAGAAAGAAATGAAAACGGTGTCGTGAGAGAGCCGAAGAGCTAACACAATTTATTCCCTGTATTCGGATTTGAGTGTGGGTTTCGGCGTCATCAGCAATGTTTGCAGTTCTCCGAACAAGAACGTGGTTACGCTATTCATCGCATTCAGAGTCCCTTCTTCAACAATGTAATAAAGTAGGGTTTTCCTCTCTCTCCGCCGTCAACGGCCGTAACTGCTTTCTGGATCTGCACGAGATCGAGAACGTTCTGACGGACGTTAAAGCTGACGACGTTAAGGTGCTTCCGGTTCCCAAACACTGCGATTGGGCCGATTTCATGGTTCTCGCCACCGGCAGGTCCACGTGGCACGTCAAGAACATCGCTCAAGCCCTAATTTACAAGGCACCTCGTTCGTTCTTCTTTCTCACCGTGTTTCCATTCCACGATTGCTTTTTGTTTTTTAATTTTGAATTTTGAATTCAATCTGAATAATAGTGTTCGTTTCATTCTTTTTTTTATTTGGACTGAAAAATATTTTTGTGTGAATAAATTACCAGGCTAAGCAGAAACAGAGAGGAGCTGAACGAATGGTGCTACCTAGTGTGCAGGGACAAGAGGGAGGAAAATGGATCGTCATTGATTCTGGTATCTTATGCTTTTTATTGTTTTATTTTATTTTATTTTATTTTATTTTATTTTATTTTTCATATGCACTCGTTTTGTTGAATTTAGAAAATCCACCTAGTCAAGTCTTGCAATGCCATTTGTTATAATCTTGATTGAGGTTGGTAAATATTCTATGATGTTGTCAAATATCAATAATAAACCAGTATGCAGATGAACGTTGATGCTCGCATTAGGGAGCAACTCATGTAGTTTAGGGCATGTTTGGATAAATTATTCTATAAAAATAGGAAAAAAATAAGAAAAAAAATGAAATAAGTTTTTCCACAAGGTGATTTGTAGAAATCCTCTTGTATTAGCTTTTCCAAAAACTTAATTATAATTTACACCATGAGTTAGTTTTAGTTTATGCAAAAGCTTATTTAATTTTTCTTTCCTATTTTCTTCTACTACAAATGTTTATGGAGAATTTTATCCAAACATATCCTTCATGGAGGCACACATTCTTTCCTATCTAACTGCACACCAACGGCTATTAACTATTGTTTCTTAGTTAGTAATAGCTATTAAGACATTAGTTAGGTTGTTAACTGGTTTACTGATTACCCGAGTAGAGTGTCGAGTATATAAGGGCACGCTACCCATGTGATATTAATTCAACCAAATAAGGCATTGAGTTTATTGTCAAAAATAGGGTATCAGTTTGTACCTTCTGCAATCTCTGGTTTTCTTTCGTGCTCCATTTGAAAAATTGTTTTCTATCTGGTTCTTCCATGGAATCCACAGCTTCCATCCCTGCTCTTAACCATCATAGTCCTTACTTCCTCCATCTAAACGGAGTCCTGCGCTCATTATTTTCTCTTCACCCTCAAATAGAGCAAATTACCATCTTTGGGGGCATGCATCATGATCATGGAAGATGATTCTCTCATTGAAGAATAAAATAAAATTTGTCTGTTACAACTATTCCAACATTGTTGTTTGACCCCTTGTATCCACCGTGGGGAGTTGCAATATAATGATTTTTTTTCATGGATCACTTGTTCACTCCTTCCATTGATCGCAGCATCCTGTGGCTTGACAAGGCTTCAGGGAAAAGAATCTCTTTATTATTTGATGATTTTAATTTTAGGTTTTAGTTGTTCTTTTCCCTGTCATTTTTCAGCTATAGAGTAGTTTTTCCCTGTGGATTTGTGAACATTTCTTATCTTTGGTTATCAAAATTTCAAATTATTTGATTTATAGTTCTAACATGTGTTGTGTTTTCTTATTGGTTCATTTCTTTATGTTTAGGTAAAGTGATAGTTCATGCACTTGATGAAAAGGCTAGAGCTTACTACAATTTGGAGGGTCTTTGGACCCCAGGGACAAAGCGAAATGAATCTGATGAGGTAAATACAAGGCCAGCTTATGTTGTTCTAAGTTATAAGAAAGTTAGATTTAGTCCTGCTTAGTAGGTTTAATATTTAATCCAAGGTATTTGAAGTTTTCCGAATCATTTTGGAATCATCTATTTTACATTTGTTCTATCACTTATGATGTTACCACAAATTATGATGTAGCATCATAAGTAATAGAACAATCATAAAACAGTTGATTCTTATCAATTTGGAAATTAATATAAATCTTGAGAGTTGCTGCCATAAATTAGACCTAATTATATTTTTGGTTCCTCTACTATGGCAGTTTATGATTTTGGTTTCCCAATAAATTTTAGCTCGAATTCAGTCCCTCAGGTTTTTAATTGTTACAACCGAGTCCTCTCACTAGTAATTCCTTAGTTGTTTTTTTTATTTATTTATTAAAGTAATTGAGGCGTTTAGCTTTAAGATAGATTTGGGAGGTTCTAAAGTTGGAAATTTGAAGGATTTTGTAAGATACGGGCTTTGTAGATATGGGCTTTGAAGAGAGAGGGATTAGTTTATTTATTTATATTTGGGGTAAAATATGGTGTTTTGGTTGCTGATTTTGGGCAAAGAAGTTTTTAAATAGTTTAATCAGTTTAGTTTACGAAAAAATTGAATATAAAAATATAATTGGAGACTTTTTAGAAGGGAGAAACAAACAGATGGACTTGACTATAGCAATTAAAATATATTGGGGAACTAAAGTACTAAAAGTTATGGAGGACTAAAATCATACATCAGCCATAATGAAAGAATTTAAAATGCAACTAAGCCTAAAATTTATGCATCTTTGTAATTATTGTTAATCAGATAAATGCTATGTCAGTTGTACCTTTTATTGAAAAATTATACAAGTTTGTGCCCGCTTTACTGGTGAAATATGGTATTGGCTTCTAAGTTGGCTGACCCAAATTTGGACCATTACTTGAGAATTAACCATTTATTACTTCTCTGTCTCTGGTTGCAAATGGTACCTTGACTTTCATTCATTACTTAGATTTATATCATGATATATCCCTACACCAAATCTTTTTAAAGTATTGATGTATTCATTAGGTAAATTTTGATGCATGACTGATTCGAATGATCCCCATTTTCCTTTCTATGGTTTTAGGATTTACAAAAAGCTTTGGTGAAGGTTCGTCGGAAAAACAATTCAAAGAAACCTGCACAAAAGAATACTTAATTGGTGTTTCTATGCATGAGGGCTGCAAACAACCTTCTAAAAACTGTAGTTTATCAGATGTAAACAATTTAGAAGTTTGTAAAAAGATCATCAACTTTCTGAATGTTGTTTTACTTGTTCTGTATGCAAATTTTGGTTGGATGTCTTGCAGCAATGTCGATGTTAGGAGAGGTGAAGTTTTCATTTTATCCCATTATCGACGTTTTTCTTCAAGTTATGATGTTCATTGCTTAATGGAGCTTAGGCTTTTTCTACCATTCACTATAAATTTGTGAACAAGAAAACTGTTGACAACCAGAAAATTGAAATTAACTTTTGTATTTATTTATTTTGTTATTAACAATAGATATACGCATTAAACATAAACGATGCTCTCATAGGTCACATTAATTACATCGAAGTTGGACATTTGTTATTTTTATGTTATGGTATAAGTATCTTGTGAAGAACTGGATGCTTCCAGTTCGACCCTTAACAAATTATTGGGCTGAAGGGGAATGAATGCCTGGTCACTGGTCAGGTCACCTCTCTTGGAAAAATAATAATATACTTTTTTTTTACTGTGAATTTTTTTAGAGTTTTGTTTTTATTTACTTGTCATTTTAAAATTTAAGATAATATTAATTAGTTATTATTTTAATATAGTACTTAATATTTAATTAATTTATGCGTTAACAATTAATATGTATTTATCATGGGATAAAAAAATCTAAAAGGACATTTCAAAATTATTTTACAAAAATAGAAAATTTATTGTATTCTTTTTATTTGTGTACAAAACCTTAAATAACTAGTGTTTTAACTTGTGCAATGTTTATTATATATAATTAAAATTTAATTTATATATATAAATAAATATAATGTATGAATATATAAATTATATTTATAATAAATAATTTATATTGCAATTAAAATTAATTTTTTATTTTAAAATATTAATATCTAATTCATAAATAGTTATGATAAATAAAAATTAAATTATATAAGAAGTTAAAAAAACTTCTTACAAATTCTCATTAAAATTATAAATAAAATAAAAAACATCTCATATGATAGATATTTTTTTTATTTTTTATTAAATCATATGATAGATATTCGTATTAAATACATAAAACGGTTAATAATGATGAAAATATTTGATAACAGATTGAAATTAAAGCAACTAAACTGTTTTCATTCTTTGCATTTTACCAAGGAGGGGTTTGAAGGTAGAGAAAAAATGGGTTGAAGTTTGTGAATAGTATTTAATAAATTATTTTTAATTTAAATATTTGTGCGTAGAGTTTGTTTGGTCATTAAAAGGTTGTTTGGTAAAATATTTTTATTTTATTCTCCTTTTCTTCTAAAGATTAGATAACACTTTCAAACTTGACAGGTTATTAAATTGATGAGATATTATTTAACTATTTATTGTTTTAATGATAGTTAATTTGGTTAAAATGTAAGTTTAAAATTACATATTATATATTATTTCGATACAAAGGACAGTCACAAAAAAATTTAGTGACTATCCAAGTCTATAACATTAGTGAATATTTGTCTTTTTAGCATTGAGGAAACATCTATATATTAAGACTAACAATCTAATATAAATTTCGTATTTTCATGTCTTAATTCATAAATGATATTATTAATGTTCTTAATGAGTCATGAATTAGTCATTATTATTATTTATCGTAACTATTGCATAGTTCTTAATATCCATATCTTATTAAGTACCTCAATTTTTACTCGAGTTATCAAGTCAAAGGGAATATTTATTGGCTATAATTTGAATAGATCTTAATTCGACACTTACTAACACAATACTCAATTAGCACATGCACCTCAAAAACATATAATCATTGTTTGTGGAGGATTTCGTTTGTAGGTTCTTTTCATTCGAACTAGCACGATTTCAATTTAGGCGTATGTGACATGATAGATTTCGCGACTTTTCAATGATGAATTATACAAACAGCATACGGAGTGAATTATGTAGGGTGCAATTTTAACATAATAGAATATCTATGCTAATCATACAATCAATTTCATGCATGTGAACGTTGATGTGCATCGAATAAATAATATGTATATTGACTGCATAAATCATATCCTTCATTCGATGTTAATAGAATTACAATTCGTAAGGATAACGAAACAGATTCAGAAGGCTACACTACACTAAACTACGCTACGCTACGCTAAAAAGGAAAAAGAAATGGTGGTCGAGAAATCGTACCCAGCTTTCTCGTGCACGTGAGCCATATGCGTAGGCGAAGAGTGCGTGTGAGGTGTTGTGAGTTTGAGATTTCTGACCCCTTGCTACGAGCATGGCTCGTCAATTTATAGAGATTTGGGGAATTGAATTAATTACATCTGACGTGACCCAAATGCATAACCGCTCTAAACCTCTACATCGTGGCTCATTTTCGAGCACGTCTCTTGATAACTCCTGGAACTGCTTACAACTTTCCCAAACCGTACTACAGTCTTGACACTCATCCCTCGATTTACTTTGACCGCTCTTAATCGTGTCTCTTTTACGCTCTTCATTCTGAGAGGTTGCGAAGTATGCTCGTGTATGTCCAGATCCCTGGGATTTCGAGTGACCTACAAAAACGTATACTTGAGTGTTTCCTGATTCTTCTTGTACTTTGAGAGGTTTCGAAGCCGTGAGGCCTTTTCATGAGCAGCAGCTTCAAGGTTCAAGGCTTTTGAGTGTTTCACGAAAAGTGTCTCAGCGTATCTCTTGATTCTCCTCGGGCTCCATATGTCTCTACTTCAGAAACTTCTTCTCTCTTTTTCGATCATCTAAGATTTCGAGAACCCCTATATTTCGAGTATCTCCGAATTCTCTTTTATGGTACTAACAATCATATAAATACCTAGATGCTACACTAGTAAGAAAAATGCATAAATAGCATATATGTCAACAAGATACCTAAATAGTACATTAGTTGAAAAAATATTGTAATGGTATACTAGTTGGTTAAATACTTAAAAGCAAGATATCTAAATAATATACTAGTCAGAAAAATACAAGAGTGGTACACTAGTCTACAAAATATAAGGACAATATATATAATAAATTATTATATAATTATAAGAAAATTTAGTGTGAAAATTTAAATTAGCACGAAATAATCATATTACAAGTTTTGGGGACAAGTAGTTAAATTATAGCAATCTACATATAGACATTATTAGTTTTTACTTAAAATTAACAAATTTTCAAAGGGTCGATTTTCAAATCATTTTATTTTTTGCATAGTTTATCATTCGATTTTTACCCATTTTTAACTAATTCTTGACTGGGCTAGACGATTCCTAATTAATATTTGACTTTATTGGTTTTTTATGTTATTTGGATTGATGGCTAGGTTAGATCTTATTCAAAACAATTGGTTGACCAGTTTAATTTTATTAGTTATGCTAACTAATATTCTTATGTTTTGGATTGAAACTTAAGGGAAGATCAATTTTTCAAATCTAATAAATATTAAAATTTTATGGTTATAAACATGTGATAAGTAAGCAGATAATTTTACTATAAGTATAAATGTAAAGTATTTATAAAGACACCAAAGTGGAGTAATGTATTTATTATTTAGTATGATTTTTAATACTCTAGAATTACTTTACAAATTACTTAGAAAAAATATAACATAGAGATCATGATGGTTTATTCCAAAATTGTTATCATTATAAAAACGATAATGTGATATAAATATTAAAATAGCAAAAGAGGTAGTGCTAAAAAAACTGATTTTTTTTAACAGAATACGAAAATATTGTTGGGCACTTCAATAACTTATTAGACACCTATGAAAGAGAATAAAATATTGGTATAATGGGTCTGATTTTTTAAATTTAAAAAGTAAATTATTTTAAACAAATGTTTTTTTAAAGTTATTATTTAAAAAAAACAAAAAAAACTACTTATTTAAAAAAACTTTAGACAAACATAAAAAATTAAAAATTTCTTTTGGTCCCTGATAATATTTTTTTGTTTCAATTTAGTCCCATTTTAATTTTAGGTCTCAATTTGGTCCCTAATAATTTAAATCATTGCAATATGGGACTTCCGTCCAAATGATTTAAACGGGGTTAACTCCTACTAACATGAATGCCAGGTGGATGCCACGTTGATGCATAGGCCAAATGGCATGAATACACCTGGAACCAGAACGGTCCGTTCTGAAACTAGAACGGCCCGTTCTGCATGCACATGTTATGTGTTAATTTTGCAACTGGAATGGGTCGTTCCAAATACAAATTTAACCTAACATGAGTGCAGCAGAACGGGCCGTTCTGAAACCAGAACGGACCGTTCTGAAATCAGAACGTCCCGTTCCAGAACGCCAACTTCATGTTTTTTATTGTATCTTTTATTATATCTATATTAATAAAAATATAATAAATAAAAAATATAATAAATTAATATTCATTTATGAATAAAACTAAAAAAAAAGAATCAAATAAGATAAGACCTTCCAAAATTCTTCTTTGATTTGAACTTATCCAATTCAAAATCTTGACTAAAATGTTGCAATGTGATTCAAAAATTGAAAATCAAAATTCATAATATATCATAAATTCAAAGACAGAAACATGGTTCAGAAACTGAAAACAAAAATTCAAAACATAACATATACTAAAAAAGTTCAAAGAAATTATTGAGAAAAGAAATTATCTGGGTAACGCTGAAGGGAAACCCTAAACCACAAAAATTCAAGTTGTACCTCCTCAAGAACAGGTTGTTATTGTTGGGGTACATTGTCAATTTTCAAGGAGAAACACCGTTTCGTTTCATCCTTGACTGTATAGTGTCAATTTGGTAGTAAGTGGTTCACACCAGTTTGACTAACAATGAAATAAAACTTGTTACCATTGTCCTCAGTGATACACTGCATCATCCTTAATGATACATTGTATAGCCCAAATGTTTAGCAATTGAAATTATCAATCCCCACTAACAATATTACCAAATCTAGTGTTTGAAATGCTTTGTACTTTAGTTTTTTTTGCGAAATTCTAGATCCAGAACGACCCGTTCTGAAACTAGAACGGCCCGTTCTGAAACCAGAACGGCCCGTTCTGAAACCAGAACGATCCGTTCTGGTTACACTGTGGGTGTGTTAATTTTGCATCTGGAACGGCCCGTTCCAGGTACAAAATTTACACATCAATAGTGTAACCAGAACGGGCCGTTCTGGTTCCAAGTGTATTCAAGTATTTTGGATCCACCTAAGTGGCATCTACCTGACATTCACGTGACCACCAATTAACTTTGTTTAAATCATTTAGACGGAAGTCTCAAATTGCAATGATTTAAATTATTGGGGACCAAATTGAGACCTAAAATTAAAGTAGGACTAAATTGAAACAAAAAAATATTATAAAGGACCAGAGGTTATTAACCTATTATTTAGTATGATTTTTAATACTCTAGAATTTCTTTACAAATTACTTAGAAAAAATATAACATAGAGATCATGATGGTTTATTCCAAAATTGTTATCATTATAAAAACGATAATGTGATATAAATATTAAAATAGCAAAAGAGGTAGTGCTAAAAAAACTGATTTTTTTTAACAGAATACGAAAATATTGTTGGGCACTTCAATAACTTATTAGACACCTATGAAAGAGAATAAAATATTGGTATAATGGGTCTGATTTTTTAAATTTAAAAAAAAATTATTTTAAACAAATGTTTTTTAAAGTTATTATTTAAAAATAAACAAAAAAACTACTTATTTAAAAAAAATTAGACAAACATAAAAAAATAAAGTAAAATAAAAAATAAATTTAAATATATTTTTAGTCCTTTAAATTTAAGATAAATTTTTTTTTGTTCCTCAAATATAAAATAGTTATTTTTAATCTCAATAATTTTTAAAAATCTTGTTTTAGTCTCTCAGATCACCAATAACATATTTAAAAATGATAAATTAAGACGATAATATCAATTAAATTTAATATGATATTTTTATTAATAAAGACACTAATAGAAAAAATTTATTCAATAATATTTAGTAAATTTCTTAACAAAATTTAAATATAAAAATTAAAATAAGATTTTTTAAAATTATAAAGACTAAAAATAATAATTTTAAATTTGAGTGTTTATAAACAAATTTACCTAAAAATTAAGAGATAAAAATATATTTAAGCCTAAAAAAATACTTATTTTATTAAAAAATAATTTTAGAAAAGAAATTAAACAAACACACTCAATATGTGTTCAAATATTATTTCCATAATACTTGAAAAGATGTTAAAATAGGGAGATTGATAGTCCCAGAATCAGAGCGACATAGATAAATTCATTCTTAAAAAAAAAATTTTTTTATAGAAATCGAACGAAACACTTTATCTATGTTCACACTCTGATTTTCAAGGCTAGTGATGGATTATTTATTGGTTGGTCAGACACGGGTTTAGTTTAGGTATACGGGTGTATCAATTCTAAACCTATATTTTCCCTTCACTAAATGATAGCGATGCTCCCAAGTGGAAAGACGCTTTTACCCTCGGCATGTTCAAATAGTGTGACGCAAGACGAGGGCGCACACGGTAATTGAACCTCTCCTCGTTCCTCACACAGACCACACTCATTCGCTTCGTTACCAACGCCCTCTCATTAGCAACATTCACACTCCGCGGAGCTCCCAAAGCTACCACTCATCAAACAACAGCAACAGAATCCGCGGATTCCGTTTTAAAAGCCGTTACGATTTTTTTTCTCTCTCTCACTCTCACACTCACGCATTCTCTGGCTTCTTCCGTTTTCGCTTCTCGTAGCCTTCTCCGAACCACCATGGCTTCCATTGCCGGATCCAACTGCGTCGCTCTCCGAACCGCCAACTTCGCCGCCTCCGGTAACCGGAAAATCGGTCAGATCCGGCATTGGTCTCCGATTCCGACGAATCTACGTTCCGTTTCCTCCGGTCTTCGCTTCCAATCGAACGCACCGTTTACCTCCTCCGGTACCGAATTATTTCTTTGGTTTTTGCTTTTCAATCGTTACGTGTTGCGTTTTCGGCGGTTATTTGACACGCGTGAGTGCAGGTGTGAGAGCGCAGGTTGCTACGTTTCAGGAAGCGGGAACCGGAGCGAATCTGAAAGTGGAAGCGCCGGTTGTAGTGGTGACCGGAGCTTCCAGAGGTATTGGCCGAGCGATTGCGCTGTCGTTAGGTAAAGCAGGTTGCAAGGTTCGTCTTCGGAAATCACTGAGCATAATAATCTGATATTGAATGATTCACACACGGTCGTAAAAAATAGAAAATAGAAACGGTTGACGATTGTATTTGGCGAACTTCAGTTCTTTTCAAATTGTTTTCGACGTTGCGATTTAAGTTGCTTTAGATTACTTTTGGTTAGCATAAGAAATGATGTGCAGTTTAAGTCACTTAAACTTAAATGTTTGAAGTTAAATCGCATGAAAAATAGGTTTCTGGTGATAGTGGTGCAAATTGCAATGTTGAAGATCCATGTTCAATTACGCGGTGAATTTTGGTGACGATTAAATGATAATTAAATAGAATAAAAGGTTCAGGATTGTTTTTGGTGGATTTCTCGTAGTGTATCTCAATATACATATGCCGTTAGCAATAGTAATGGTGTGCAGTTTAAGTTACTTTAACTTGTTTATATTTAAAATTAAACACCTAATCCATATTGGATTATGTGGTTCTGGTGTTAAAACTTTTGGGATTCTGATGTTTAGTTACTTGGGCCTTGTATTGCAGGTTCTGGTCAACTATGCTAGGTCATCCAAGGAAGCTGAGGAGGTTTCCAAGGAGGTAGAAATTTGCATCCTGAAATTAGTGTGTTTTGTGCATTGTTGTTATTTGTGTCTTATAATAGTTCTTGTGTAGATTTCATATTGGGGCCATAATGTATAGACTTATTTTCGAAGTCCTGAACTGAACTCATGTGATTACTTTCAATCTTTTCTACATTCTCTTCATTGGCAGTGTACTTGAGATTGGGATATCCTATAATCTCAACATTTGCTAGGTTAACTGTTGGCAAATTTGTTGTGTCTCAAATGCTTGTTATGATTATAAGTCTGTATAAGTTTGATGCTCATCTTTATCTTTTACCCTGGAGAAAGGAGTGATTGCCCGAACTGCATTAATTTCTTTGGTTACGCATTATTTGTATGTTATTATAGATGTGCATTAATTTGTTTGACTATTTTCTTGTAGATTGAGGCATTTGGTGGGCAAGCTCTCACATTTGGTGGAGATGTTTCTAACGAGGCTGATGTGGAGTCTATGATTAAAACTGTGAGCAGCTACTCTTGAATCATTAGATTGACCTTATTCTACCTTGGCTGCTTCATGATTTTCACCATCTGCAGGCAGTTGATGCTTGGGGAACTGTCGATGTATTAATAAACAATGCAGGCAAGTTGGAAAGCTCTTGTGGTTGTGCTAGCCTCCCTCTCTTTTTGTCTAGTCATTCTCAAATAAAGATATTATGGTTTCAGGAATAACTAGAGATGGTTTACTAATGAGAATGAAGAAACCTCAGTGGCAGGAGGTTATTGATCTAAACCTCACTGGTGTTTTCCTTTGCATACAGGTAAAAAATGTTCCTAATCTTAGTTTGTGTCAAAAGTTTTGTTTAGCTTGAGAAGATATTTCCGGTTGTCATGTAATTACAAAATTGTCATTTTTTTAAAACTTTGTTTCTCCTTTTTTGAAGTTTCGTAAATGAAATATTAAAAAAAACCCTGTTTATAATCTTTATTGTACAAATCTTTGGGAACAATAAGCAAAATTAAAATAAGGTGTTTTGTAATTATTTGTGAAAACAAAAAATAAAAACAAGAAAACATTTTCTCAGACCAAGCTAGCATAAGTTTTTATTTTTCTTTTCAGTTGGATCTGAGATAGTCTTTTTTTGGCAGGCTGCAGCAAAGGTTATGATGAAGAAAAAGAAGGTGACTTAATACTTAATTTAAGATTATTTTTTGAGAAGTCTTTGGTAAAATGTTCAGTTGACCACTCAATTTGTTAATTAATTCAATTAATGGCTTACCCAAATATCATTAATCTATGAAGTGATTAATTATTCCTAAGTGAAAATATTTTTACCAATAATTCCTATCATAGTTTGCAAGATAACAGGTAATTGTTACTAAGATCTTGTGCTTTTGCAGGGAAGGATTGTCAATATTGCATCAGTTGTTGGTTTGGTTGGCAATGTTGGACAAGCCAATTACAGTGCTGCAAAAGCAGGAGTAATTGGCCTGACAAAAACTGTTGCAAAGGAATATGCTAGCAGAAACATCACTGTAATTTTCTAAAAATTATGCATTTTTTTTTTTCTGTATTGAAGTTGTGTAATATCAGTTGATGGAATTAACTTAAACCTGGTTTTCCTTGCCAGGTTAATGCAGTTGCTCCAGGGTTTATTGCATCTGACATGACTGCCAAGCTAGGACAAGACACTGAAAAAAAGATTTTGGAGACAATCCCATTAGGTAACACTAGAAAATACTTATGGAAGTTTTAATTTGTTGACAACCTTGTTAACTTGCTATTTTCAATTTGAATTCAGGAAGATATGGCCGACCAGATGAAGTTGCTGGACTGGTGGAATTCTTGGCTCTTAATCAAGCTGCCAGTTACATAACTGGGCAGGTCAGTTGTTTATTACCCTATTAAAAAAAGTAACAAAATCATTTGGTTTAACTTGCTAACTCCTCGTTCTAATCCGCAAAATTCTGGATATAGGTTCAGTTTAGATAGACTTTTCCACGAGAATTTGATAAATAGATAAAATGAATCAAACTTTTTTTCTGTAAGTTAAAATCGAGTAATGTTCTTTATCTTTTTAGAAGTTGAGAGATTTTCTAACGGCTAAGGTTTTTAAATTGATTTTAATTAATGGGAGAAATATGAGTCGTTATACCTTTTTATTTTCTTGTTTTGTAAGTGTTTGTTAAGAAACTTATGTCAACAAGATTATTCTCTATTTTGTCAATGTTGTGGTCTGATAAACTGTCCTGTCAATGCTGCTATCAGAGTTATGTAACTTGTGTTTTTTTACCTGTATTCCCTCTTAATTTTTTTTCTTTGCTTTGGGTGAAATAATATTTCTGTTTTCACATATAAAGCGTTTATATAGACTAGAATTGCATGTTGCAGGTTTTCACCATCGATGGAGGTATGGTGATGTAAATCAGCAATTGTTTACCTGGCAACTTGAGCTTTTGTACTTTACTCGCATCGTGCTCTACGGTGACAGTTTGTTCCTTGCTGAGTTTTGCTTTACCTTGTTAGAATCTTAGTTGAGCTCACTAAGGTGAGTTCAACAATCAAGCTTCTTTGGCTGTGTAGCATTTTGGTATTTATTAGCGGAATAGGCGTAATTCTTGTAAGCAATTCAGTTGCTTTGGCCTTTAGTTTTTTCTGTCTTGGATGTTCTTTGCGGGAAATGGGAATGCGCTCATTTAAGAATGGTGTTTATTTTCTGTCACCCGCAATAAATCCTTAATAGTGAAAAAGTGGCATCGCTGAATTACTATATGCTATGTATGACTTGTATTTGCAACCTTGTTAGATGGTCCTCACTAAAGCTTGAATGCTTTGTTGGCGAGAGGACGATTAGGCTGTTGCTCATTTAATACTTTAGTACTTTATAGTTTGCGTGGCTTGTTGGGCTTTTCTTGATTTTAACTTTCAATTTTCTTACATAGACTATATACCATATGGGCGAGTTAGAGCAAATAGGCAATGAATATTCCAACTATTCGTGCGTGGCAACTAGTAAAACAGAACAGTGATGTCAAATGGACACGTAGCATTTTTTGCATTGAGAAAACGTATTCAATCAGTCATTTAAATTGACTATTTTATTTAAATTAGTTATTTTATTAAGCATCGACTTTAATAAAATACTGATTGCTGAAATTAATGTATGGTTTTTTCTTACGATTTTTAATTGTTAACTTTTATTAAATTGATATTTCGGTGAATAAATTATCACTTTATATTCAAGAGCTACTTACAAACTCATATTGATAAATAAGATTAAATATACCCTCTGAAGATTTTATATTATGATTGAAGAAATAAAAGTAAATTACATTATGGTCGTCTAAAATATAGTTCAACTACATTTGACATTCTCGTTTAAAGTTATTCTATCTTGAAATTTAGTCATTTTTGTCGGTCGTACAGCCATCCTATTTTATCAAACATAAAAAATAAAATTATTATATTAAAATGTTTAAATCAAATCATACCTCTTTTTGGAAAAAAAAAAATTAAAAAACATTTCTAATTTTATATTTTGTCAATTAACAAGTTAACATTTCTAAGGACTCAATTTTATAGTGTAAGTGATTTATCTTTGCCTAATTTTTTTACCGGATGTGATCAAAATTATATCGGCCTCGCCTATTCTTCCCTATTTTTAAATGTTAGTTTAAATTACAGTATCAAAGTGAATATAACTACCACAACAGAATGCGTGAATCAATACTTTTTTTTTGCTCAGTTGGCTCAGTTATTGTTTCAAACAATTTACTAGTTTTAAATTTCGGCCGTAAGTGTGCAGTTGCAATAAATATTTGAAAGGAAAGTTGTCCCCTCAAGAAAAAACAACATAACTTCCCGAGTAACAAATTATAAATAATTGCTTCATCAATTTTACGGCTAGTCCGACCGGTGTGGTTTTTAAAGGATTGATTTTTACAGTTTTCGTTTGAACAAACTGGCATGATGCAGGTTAGGAGCTATGTAAGGTGTACACATGACAAGCAGTTTCTGTGCCTCAGCGACTATAGCTAAATTCAGTGGTTACCTTGATAAAAAAGCATCTCCAATATTTATATGCCAACAATTGAAGCGTTAATTTGGTCGGAACCCCCATAATAATCAAGCTCGACAAAAGTTCCCCCTCCTTCTCCCTTGGCTAGTCTTCCCGGATTGACAGCTATGCATTTGTTGTGGTTTATCCCTTCACTTTCGCTACTAAGCACCTGCACAATGGTGAATTATTTTCTAAATGTTCTATCATAAAATAGGATCCAAACAGCGGCTTATTTTATAGTTTTGGAAAATGAAGCGCATAGGTGAAAGAAGACAATCATTTACCTTGACAAAGTACTTGATGTCTGAAGGTAGGATTAGTATGTCTGGAACCAAGGACAGTTGAAGGGCCTCTGGAGCAAGCGAAAAATCCAAGGGAATTTCTGCTGGTGGGTAAAGTGGATAGAAGCTGACTCAAAAAATTGAAGGACTTTAGTTGTTTCTGAACCCAACAAACACCAAGCACAAAAATCACAAGATAACAGTGTATTACTATTACCTTTGTTGGTTAAGAATATGATTTGCAAGTCTACTCATGCGATCAATGGGCTTTCCATCTGCTGCAGTTCGTGATATCTCCTCCCCACTGATTTGCTTGAGAATATCCACAGTGCAGCAACCAACCTTAACCTGAAACCACCCAATGAATTATTATTCACTTGCTCCTCTCCACACATAGCAGCTAACTTAACCTTTTGCTTTAAAAGAAAATCAGCAAGTGACAAATAAATCACAAGAACTTCCTTCAACATACAGTGTACAACAGATGTAAGAGTAACATTGACAAGATTATAAGTCATTCAATCTAAAGTTCAGGACTCATTACAAAGTATGTGTCTTGTGTGTCATCCAGACTTTTCATTTATACAAAACCCCATATGTTATATGTATAATGCAGAACTCAAGAAAGCAATATGGGGTAAGTCATACAATACCTCATTTGCCTCAAAGACTCCAGGATTACCAAGGCAGGCTATCTGAATAATAAAACAAAACAATTATGTAAGCTTCACAGCCAAATTGTGCCAATAGTGAATGATATTCTGCTAGTTCAAGGATCAAGATTAATTCTTAAATGCTTTAAAATTATTATACCTGAGATTTGAGATCAGGTAGATTGATGTCGAATGCAGGCTACAAAAACAAATGATTGAAATCAAATTTTGGATTTATGATTAAACTATTACACTAACTAGAACAGATCATGATATCTAAATTGATTCAATTAATCATTACCTGAGGAAAAACAAAATCATGGCTAGCATCCCGTATAGATGGAACAAGAAGAACACGTGCTGAACCCATACATTCTACATAATCTTCCAACTGGGAACAGCAAATGCACCAGAGTGGAAGTCAGAAAAGAGCAAAAAAGAAAAAATCAAAAACAAATTCCATCATTGAAGTTATTACCTTCCTCAGGATTTCAAAATGAAATATCTCATCAAAACTCTTGTCTACAGTTCCTTTCTTAACTTCTGGGTGTTCAGAGTCAACAAATGGTCCCAGCTGAGGCAAAACCCAGTTGTCAACATCTAACATATTGTCCAAGGCATAATAAAATAATGATGATAAAAAGATGTAGATTGCAGTAAAGTTGGTATTTACCAATACAAGTAACTGTGGTGGTCTTCGTTTTGCATATGCCAGCAATTCCATAAGAGGCTCAAACAACAAATTGTCCGTTGTAGTAAAGGGTCCAGCTGCGATAATCTGTTAAGCACCAAGAGCATCTGTAAAATATAAAATACTAACAAAAATGCAGTATGTATAGTTTGTACCAAAAATATTTGAGAAAGAGCCTGTAAGCTTTGAAAATCTAAAATATCTCAACTGCAACTTAAAGAAAAGGATACAAGATTGCATGCGTTACATATCATATGACCATTACTTAGCTAGCTAGACATTTTGTAATTGTTAAAAAATGAATCTTTGGTAAAACTGTAAAAGAAAATTTTCTAAATGTCTAAAAATTCATCAAAAAATGAAATCTAGTGCACAATATAGTTTACAGAACTCAGATGAACAGGAGATGCATTGTGCATACCATTGATAATTCTCTCTCTTTAGATAGCAGATCAGTTGGTTGATTCTCTTTATCAATAGCTTGCTTCTTTGCAGGATTCAAATTCTCATCAGCAATAGAGGTGGGTATAGAATCTACCAGATTAGATGCAATGAAGCAATGCCCACTAGGATTATGCCCTTCAATACAAACTACCTATAAAGATGAAGACTTCCTTTTATAACCATTCTACCTTTCACACATTTAAAACAATAATTTTTAACCCATCAATTGCATTACCTACCTGGCCAGGAAAAATTGAATAATGGCTTAGACGGTGCAATTCTAGGCGAACACATTCCCCTCCAGAATGCTCAATACTGTAAAGATATTAGAAAACAGGCCCATGTATGATAGATAAAATTGAAAAGGTAAAATGTAGCAAATATATGATGCATAATGTCACCCTTAAACATAGTCAACGCCTCAAATGATTCAATGGAACAATCTCCACATTAATTCCCTAAATAAATAATGGATCACAAAATGATAAGAATTGTATCGCAGCATTCCTCTCATTGACATAACCTTTGGTCAAGTTGAATAGACTAACTTCGCTTCACATTAATATTTGTTCCATGTTCATTAATAAATCCAACACAAGTGCACAGACACGCCAGTCTGATGAGAGAACACTCAGAACAGATGTGTATTAATGATATGTGGAGATCTGATCTAGTGGCTATTACCTGCTCTGCAGCATGACAGACTTCTCGTTTAAACGGCCTTCTCCATCACAACAAATCATGCCAACAGCAAAAATGCTTCTCTGATAAATTATATTACTTTAAATTATTAGACGATTTATGTTTATGATACAATGGAGTCAGAGACCAGAATTGATGCTCAAGTTATAAATAAAACAGCATAATGATTTTGTTAGCCAAGAGGCAATCATTAAGTATTGGGGCTTCAGTGTCTGTTTATAGCTATGGCAAAAACATCATTTTGCATTCAAATTTATGTGTATGCGTGGGAGAAAGAAAGGGATGCCTTATATTTACCTGTGAAGCAGTTGTTGGGTCTGTTGGTTCTTCATGGATCCCAGAAGCTACAAATGCCCTTGTATGTTTCCTAATTCGGTTTTCTATAGCATTAAGCTAAAAAAAACAATTATCAGATTTCAATAAACAAATGTAAAAGGGTAATGAAAAACAATATGGAAGCCAGTCTATATATCACATACCCTATCCTCTAGTCTATCATACATGAATCTGCAATTTGGTTTGGATCCTGATCCGTGAATGACCAATGAACACCTTTTACGGCTTGGAACTCTTCTAACAACATCATCCTCATCAATCTCATGATTAGGTTCTTGTTTTCCATTCTCAATGTCAGGGACAGTGTTCATATTAAATTTCACCAAAAATCTATCTGTTCGCTTTGAGAAGGGTGTTTCTAGTTTTGATTTTGATGGTTTTCCAGAAGATAAAACATTCTCGTACATTAAAGATGTTGAATCAGGTGCAGGAGAAAAAAGATCTTGATGGTGATTTATTGGAGTTCCGGGAGTATTGTCCATTGTATCATCATCATTATTTAAGATCCTGAATAGAAGGATTTTTCATTATAATAAATTGTGGTTCAATAGTAATAGCACTTATGAACTAACATCAAACAGTTCCGTTTGCCTTATCAACTATTATACAGCCATGATACAGCGACAAACAATCACCACAATAACTAGAGTACCTGGTATTATATCCTAATATGGAACAACAATGTGTGCATTTATTTCAAAGAAAGGGGTATACTTTAGACAAAAAAGCAAACACAATAGCAGGTCAAAAAGGGAAGGGGGTTGACAACAAATTGAAGTCGGCAAAGATGCAGTAACAAGATCATTTAATTCCGTGCTTACATGATGACGTAATCTATAAGGAGGCATATAGAAACACCATTTATGTTATGCTTGCGAAAAAGTCAGGAAGCTCCAAAAGCATGTTAAGAGAGCATCAATCATTAATGCGAATTTGTTAAAATAATCGTGTTTCATGATTATGCTTAAAAAGTACACGTGACTAAAAGTAAACAAATGTACCTTTTTCATTTGGTTGAAAATTTTACAGTAACTTTTACCAGACATGCGTTTGACATAAAAGGTTTCAAACATAAATCACTTCACTTCAAATACAGTAATAATCAAAAACAAATTTGCAATCACCCTCCAAAATACAAATTAATGGAGTTAAATAATTATCTTCCTTATTTCTGTTCAATTTTATTATTATTATTATATGCAGAAGGCTTTGTTCATAGAGCTGGGAATTTCCTGTTTCGCAAATCAATTCAAAAAATAAATTCTCCCCTAATTTAATTGTCAAGACTTAATCAAGCCAAGAGCATGAAAGAAACGTAGACATATATACAAAACCAAAGTAGAATATGCTCACATTTCTACATCCGCGATGGAGTACATATGCAAGCCAGCTTCCTCCTTTTCCTTTACAACATCCTCTTTCTTCTGATTTTGTAGATGCAACAGAAAGCCATCAATTTCAGCATTTTGTACTATTGATCCGTCCAGCATTCTGTCAAATTGTCAATAACAACCATCCAAATTCAAACTATAACTTGTCTAGCAAATCAAAACACCTATCGCCAAACCAAATAGTTAAATCAACACTTCCTCTTATAAAAAAAATACAGAAATTCAAATTGAAAAAAAAAAAAAAAAGTATCGGAGCTAGAGCACATGACATAACACAGTTCTTTGAGATGGTTATTTCAAACTATAATTAACTAGCAAACCAAATCAATAAATCGACACTTCCTCAAATAAAAAATATAGAGAAAATCAAATTAAAAAAAAAAGACTATACAGTTCTTTGAAATATTTATTTCAAACTATAATTATCTACCAAACCAAACCCGAACCAACTCGTTAAAACACACGTCCTCTTATAAAATAAAAAAACAGAAAAGTTCAAATTGAAGAAAAAAAAAAAACTATATATCGAAGTTAGGACATGACATAACACGGATCTTTGAAACATTAACTTCATATTAAATAAATGACAGAATGATATCTCCGGAAACTCCTTAGCAATGAAGCTCAGATCACAGAGCATATTCTTCTAAACTAAGGAATTCATAATTCACAAATGCAAGGGAATAATACTAAGTGAAAATGCTAACGAAAACAGCAGAAGAAGACACAAACCCATTGAGGTAATAAGCTTCCCAGCATGAGACCAGATCGGAAGGTGCGAGACCGTAGTTGATGCAAAAAGTGACACCTACACATATTCAGAAGACTAACAGATAAACGATTGTGCACGAATTGAAAAAAAATAAATAAAGAACTACTTACATTTACACAATCTCAAAAGATAAACAGATAAACTATTGTGCACGAATCAAAGAAAGAGCGAAGAACTACTTACATTTTCTGAGAATTTCTTCTTCGTCTTCGAGGTCGAACTGGCTTCGTTTGAATTCGGACTTGATTTCCTCTTCCATTGCTCTCACCGTTTCTCTCTCTAGGGTTTCTCTCACTTGAGGCGCCAAGAAAAAATGGCGGGAATTTTGCGGGTTTTGGGTATATATAAAGAAGATTGGGTTGGTTTTATTCCGATTATGCCCTCGTTGCTGCACCGTGTTTCTTTTTATCTATAATTACATATGAATTCTATAAAATGTAATTCGAAAAGAGATTAATTTTCTGAAGGAAAGTTTTTTATAAAAAAAAATAAAATTGAATTTTATTCAAGAAAATCAAATATATATTATTCTTACCGGAATTTGTAAATATTCAGTTCCAACACCCGCAACAGTAGGTGTATTGGATTAGGATTTTAAAAGACTTTTTTAGTTAAAAAAAATCTTGCGGATTTAAAAGACTTTGCAGGATTTTCATGACTTTTAAGATTTTGCAGGATTCTACAAGACTTAAAATCAGGATTTTAATAGATTTTGCAAGACTTTTAAATCAGAATTTTAATGGATTATGTGAGATTTTGTGAAGTTTTGACATTTGATAAGATTTAAAAAAATAATCATACATTCAAATTTAAAAAGAATCAAAGACAAAAAAAAAATAGTGTCTAGATAAATAATAATAATAATAATTTTCCATAATATCCTATCCTCTTTTTATAGCATCCACTATCAATTGTAACAATTCATCGGAATCCTCCTTGGTCCAAGCTTCATAGTTTTATTTCTCTTTTCCTTTTTCTTTATTATTTCCTTGTGAATCTCCCATTTGAATTACTAAAACAATATATGTTGAAAACTAGTTATATAAATAATTATGGATAAGAGACAAAATCAATAAAAATATATTATTATTTTTAGAAGCACACCAATCATACAAGATCGAATATATCTTGGCTATCCAAATGGATCAAATACCTCAGTCATTATAAAAAAAACATGTAAAAATGAAAATATAGAAACATAAGATAATTTTTTATATAAAAAAGATCAGTATATTCGATACTGAGAAAATATTTAGATATATAATTTTTTTATATAAACGGAAGTATTTAGATATAGAATATATATATATATATATATATATATATTATTTTAGTTATGATAATTTTTAACGATATTTATAAATGTAAATTATTCTAAAAAAATATTTTAACAATATTTCCTTTTTTAAAAAATAAGCTAATGAAGGCATAAATCCTAAACCCTAAAAAAATTAGATACTGCAATGTCTTATGTTAGTTTTTTTTTAAATATTAAAAAATCTTAATTTTATAATAAAAAAATAATAAAAAAATTCATAGTAAAAAAATAAAATAATTGTTGAGTCATAAAAGGAGGAGGGATAAGAGTAACAAATTCAAGGGAAGGAGAGAGTTCGCAGTTTTTATGCTGATATGGTTCTTCTTCCAACTAAGAAAAATTCATAGAAAAAAAAGATAAAAAAAAAACTCACTTGAAAATTATTGAAACACTTGAAAAATCACTTCAAACAATCCTTCAAAGTCCGATGGGTTTGGATGTGATTGTTTTATGAATCTGGTATTTATAGATAATACTAGAAAGTCCTTCAAAATCCCTCTCTCACAACAATCCTTTAAAATCCTTATATTTTTGAATACCAATGGATTGTTTTTAAGTTGTAAAAAATCTCAAATGAATACCAGTGGATTTTAATGCACTCTTTAAAAAATCTTGAAAATCCAGATTGAATACCACTGGATTGTTTTTAAGTGACATAAAATCCTGATTGAATACCAATGGACTTTTTTACTCAAAAAAAGTTTTTTAAAATCTTACGAAATCCTAAACCAATACACCCCTCTAAATTAGAATAATATATATTTATCTGTTTGACTTTTACTTATTATTTACTTCAATTTCTTTATTAGTCTTATTAAATCCGAAAACTAAAAATTAATCATATATTATTTTTTTTATCACTTATTTACTTGTTCTAAAGGCTAATTGATTGAATGCATTTATTATTAAATCACAATAGTCACGTAAACGGTCTTCTACTTACTATTTTTTTACTTGTATGATTTTACACGATGAATTAGATACTTGCTTTGAAAGAAGTAATAAAATATAATTTAATCATCTATATATTGCTAGTATAAAAAATTTTTACATTGACAATTAATCATATTTTTTAATAGTGTCATGTTAGTTACTTATTTAATAAAATAAAAATAAAATAAAATAATTTAAAAGATATGATTGGTTGCCAATATAAATTTTACACTGACAGTATATGGATGATTAACTCATAAAATATAACTATGTAAAATGCTACTATTTTATTTCTTGCATGATTTTCCGCGATGAAATGTATAGTTGTTTTGAAAGAAGTAATAATATATATAAAGAGGATGGTTCAAACGACACCGGTGTAACTTTTACTAAGTGTTATACCGCTTAATAACTTTATATTAAATGTGAATTTTGAAAATCCAACCGTTAGATTGAAAGTTCATATATCTTAAATCATGTATGTCAAATTTTGTTAAAATTGAACAATAACTTGAAGATAATCAAAGTGTTTATATTTTAAAATATTTTGAAATATATATATTACGTCAATTTTGTTTTATGATAACGAAGTATCAAATCATCTTAAATTAATATAAAATTTGATATATATAATCTAAGAGATATGAACATTTAATCTAACGGTTAGATTTTCAAAATTCATATTTAATATAAAATTATTGAACGGTATAACACTTGGTAAAAGTTACACCGGTGTCATTTGAAACCGCCTCATATATAAATATATATATAAATTATGTACGATGCTACTCTGTGCGAGTATCACTGCCACAAATCCTACAAATTCTGATCTATATTTCCTCCATGGATTGTGCACGTACGTAGGTGCTTTTTTGTTGTTTATGTTGTATGCTTCATCCATCAACTTTAAAATCAGTTGGGAATCACTGATTGCATCAATGGTTTACGAGAAGAACTCGTAGTTTTTGGCTGACACGATGATATTCCTCAAAGCACCAATTGGAGATAGTGTCATCAACAATACCCCAAGAACAATGCAGATCTGAAATTTAATGACGGAGAATAAAATCAGTTAAAATTGAGCGATTTGCTAAAATGAAGAGAAGCCTTGTAAAAGAAAAAATAAGAATAAAAACATATTTTAGAGCTTATCATATAAGAATTTTTAAAAAATTAATTTATACATAATCTAAATTTATTTTTTTCTTTCTCTTTAAAGTGTTTATAAATTATTATTAAAATGTACTCTTAAATGACAATTAACATACCCAGTTGATTGTCCATGACAAGCCAAACTTTTTGGGCTTTTTGAGTTTAAGCCATATGATACAGGGCAACTGCAAGTAGGATAAAACAAGACACGATAAACATGTACTATATTAATTGGGTCTTAATACATATAATACTTAATCTATATTCTAAAAGTTAAGAAATAAAAATAATAATTAAAAAAAAAGTATGAGTTTTGCTCACAAAGTATGATGTTGGTGCAAACGCAAAGCCTCCAAGAAATCCAAGAAGAGAACCAAAGAAGGGGATGCATATGCCAATTATCATTGTCAATGCTGCAAAAACCAACACAAAATATCAACAAATTGTCCAAGCCAAAAATTTTAGCCACTCAAAAGAAAGTGTGAATGAGTAATCTAATCACATACCAACATATACACTGCGAGTTATTAATCGGAGTGCAACAGAAGGTGTAAAACTTAAGTTCTTAACCATGTAGGTTTCGATCATATCGAACACTGGCATAGCAAATACCTGTTGTTTACGTAACAGTAACAAAATTATCATAATTAGGACAATGGTTAAGAGTACAATTGATAAACTTGTTCATAAATATTTATAAATAAAAAAGTAAATTTATTTATGCATAAAACAAATTTAGAGTAATAATAATTGAAATTGAAACTCACTTGGTAGCCTCCAACAACGTGGATAAAGACAAACATGTTGGCAGTTGCAATGAGCCATGCAGGGCGTTCTAGTGTGATGAGGATGTTATCATCAACTGAGTTTCCAAACATGTAGTATCCAATGAACGCAACAGGGAAGTAGCAGAATGCAACTCCTATGTATGCCAAAATAACTCCTTTCCACATGGGTTTCTTGGAAGGATTCTCAGGAGTTGAAGGCATGGTTGCTTGAATTTCAAGAACCACATTGTGACCTGCGTAGGCAAATGCCACATCGCCCAAGGCAGAAAAGAAGTTGAATACACCATCAGCAGTGCTGGTGGCTCTAGAGCCATAATTCACATCTGGTGCAATCCCCTTTTTTATTGAAGCACACCAAGCTATGGTTGAGTATCTGTTTAAATTAAACAATTCAATTATTCATTAATCATATAAGATCACATTAAAGAGAGAACATTATCAGTTATTAGTAAGAAATTACATAACCAAATTGTATAGATCTTCCTTCTTATTTAATATCTTTTATCAGTGATTTTGTACTTTAACAAAATTTAACTGATGAAAATGTGTTGGTGTTAGAGAAATTTTTATATAGTCCAAGACTAATTTAGTCTTAACTTAATAATTTCCATAATTTTCATATGGCATATAATCAAGCTTTATTTATCTCTTTATTTAAATTGAAAAACTTAGTTACTACTCATGTAGAGATTAGTAAAGATCATGCACATATGTAACCTTTAAAATTTAAACCATCTAATAATTTCTCTTATTAGAAAATTTATTGTTCGAAATCTTTAGTGTATAAGGATTAAATATATTTTTAATCTATAAAATTTTGTTAATTTTCACTTTTTATCTTTAAAATTTTCTTCTGTGAACAAATGATTTTGATGCTAGGAACCAAAACTGTTAAAGTGGGGAAAAAAAGTTAAAGAATTAAAAGTGAAATTTGAGAAAAATTTAGAATCTAAAACTAGTAAAAAGTTGTTTCAGAACTTAAAAGTGAAAATGGATAAAAGTTTAAATAAGAAAAACATGTTTAATCCTAAAAGTAAACAGAGGAAGAGGAGAAGTTTAATTACGTCAAAGACATGACAGCAGCACTGAGAGAGATAATAGAGATGGAGTTAAAGTTGGGGCATTGTGCAAGAACAAAGTTCACAGAAGCAAAGATAATGATCCAATATGAGGTCCTAATTTCTTTGCAATCAGTGCAAATGGTATCATGAACTTTCTTCAATGACTTGCCCCCAGTGACCATATAGACAATGCACGTGCCAACTTCAACCACAACCTGTTGGGGAACCACAATCCATAGGCCTAGTTTCTCTCCAAAGGCTTCCTGACCCAACTCATGGTACCTATCGAATCTCTTCCCTGGCACCATTTCGTGCATCTCAACCATTTGCCACAAAGTGTAGAGGGTGATGACCCAAGACAAGATAAGCACAGTAGCACCGGGACCCCTGTAATATTATTGTCCAATGGAATTGAGAAATGGTTATGATCACAAATATGATGAATTGTAAACAGATGAAATGTTATTGCCAGAAGTTATTACATAGTTTTGAGCTATGCGTTCCTAATCGATCTTCACACGACATATAATTATATTTTTTTTCTTTCTTTCAATTTACATGTCACATAAAAATTGATTGATTGAGACTAAGAGTATATAATAATTTGTTATTACAGGTTCAAAATCATATGATTGTAATGAATTTTCAAGTGTCATATATATGTAATTTTTTCATTACATTTTAGGTAAAGGCTAATTAAAATTAGAGTTGTCAAAATTAGACTATATTTCAATTTGAATTTGTTATTTTAAAGTTTGAAAAGGACTTGGTCAATTTGTCTCAATCTAGACAAATAAGTTCAAATTAGACTACTAAAATTAGGCCAGAAAGATAATGGAGCTAATATTTTTTATTTCTATGTAAAATAATTTTAAAAAAATTAATATGATTCGATTTGATAAATCGGGTCTAACAAAAAAGAATTATAAAAAGACTAAACTAAACCAAACTAACTCATTTATGACAATTGATTCAATAGGTCAATTCATATCGAGATGACTCGTTTAAAAATTCTAATTAATCTTTACATAATATAACTACAATTTTTTTTTTGAATTCATATGTCACGATAAAATTAGTCAAACTTGAGATTATATAATAGTTTACGTTGATAAATGAATTATGTAGTCATAATCAATCTTTACGTGTGATACAATAACATGATTGCAATTCACATCACGTAAATATTAATCGAGAATAAGAATAGACAATGAATTATAAAAGGTTTAGTAATATATTAGAGGATGCATGTACCAGCCCATGTTTGACAATGCAAAGGGAAGGCTAAGGACACCTGCACCAACCATGGCTGTGAGATTGTGGAAAGCCGAATACCACCATTTGGCATTTCGGGAAGCAGTGATTGGAAGCCAATCATCGATTGCCTTCTGCTTGGCAGTATCATGACTGTTTTCCTCAGAGTGTCCCATATTTCAACCCTTGACGACCCCTCAGTTCACACGGTTTCTAACTAATGTCTTCGCCAATAATAATTTGATGGTAAGTTTGCCAATGAAATTATGTGACAAGGGCAACGAGTATGTGTGACTGGGGAGGGGGTGGAGGGGACTTACGCTACAGATTCAGAATTGCTAAGACCCTTCTATGGAAACTCCAAGGACACACACAATGCAAGGTTTCAAGGAGTATTTATAATTAGAATAGCTATTTGTTTTTACTAAGAATATGTCCGGATTCTAAGGTACTAAATACTCTCTCGATGCATTATCGCTCTCACATCACCCACCGCCTATATTTATCGGTATCAAACGTGGGGTGCATGGTGAATTTAAGTTTCAAAGTTTGGTTTGAATCACCTAAGTGGACTTGTTTGCTAAAATTAGCAAATAGTTTATGATTATCCATTAATTTGAATTAATGAAACGAAATATTAAATAATTTTCAAATTTTTTAAAAATTTGCTTATTTGATTTATGAATTAAAATTTTTAAATTTAACGGTTAAATCGTTGAAATTTAATGTAGAACATGAGTTATTGAATAAGGTAAGTCTAGATAGACTTATTCTGGGAGTAAAAGGATCTCTCCTCATATATATATATATATATATAAAATTAGTTAAAAAAACTAAAAACTTATAAATTAATTGAATTGAAAATATTGATAAAATAGTTTTTTTTATAAATAAAAATTATAATGAAAAAACAATATTTGAATCAATGCTATATATATTGCCTTAATTTTTCTATCTTAGAAGTTATTTAAATTTGATTTGAATATATTTTTAATTATATTACTAGTACGAAGTATTTATAAGTCTCATTAATGACTAATTTTTGTTTGAAAACTAAACAAATCTAGCTAGCACCTTTAGTGACTAATTTTTCTATCGCTGAACAAAATTTTTTTCATACACAAAATGCAAAACAAAGACCTTATTTAAGATGATTAAATCAAATACCATTTGGATGATTTGTTTGTAGTTTGGTTTGGATTGAATTGACATAAGGGAACATTTTTGGTAAAATTATCATATAAGCTATATAAAGTAAATTATACCGAAGTCTATAAATTATAAACTGAGCCAAAAAACTTAAAGATTTTAAATTAGTTTATTGAATTTAAAATTTTTGGTAAAATTAATTCACAAGCTAACTAATAAATATAAATTGACATAAAAATATGTATTTAATTATTTGAAGCAAAAATATATTATAAATAAATTAATAAAGATAAAAATAAAAATAAAAATAAACTAATAAATTATAAGTTAACTTATTCTAGTTGCAAAAATTAATGAAATATAAGCTAAAAACTACTAAAATAAAGTGGTGTATTAAACAAGATAATTTATTTTAGTTAAATTAACTTATAGATTCTTCTAAAATATATTGTCAAATACATAAACACCATATTCTTGCGCAATAAATGATTAATACATAGAAGTGAAATATCTTATCTAGGATTTGACTCTTTTAACATGGAAAGGTACATTGCTGGTTAAAAAAAATTGCACTTAGTTACAGATAAAAAAAACCACCCATAATTATGATAAAATTAGTTGATATAATTAAAGTTAATTTTTTAATTAAATATTATTATAGTACTTTATCCTCACATCGAAAAAATTCAAACATTTTGAGTAGCTCCAGCATTTTTAACCGAAAATATACATACGGTGAAAAAGATTTGAGCTGCAACTCAATTTAGAAAATAAAATAAGTAATCTAAGTAGTCAATAATAAAAATTAAAAGATATATATTATACGTGTATGTATAACAAATCATGCAATATTGAAACATTAGTAATTAATTTTCTGATCATGTTACTTTACTCTTATTCACTTCATAAAATCAAATCCGGCGAGGAAAAAAGAAAAGAGCTAATATCATTAAGTGTTAAGACTCACTATTAAAAAATATATAGAAGCCACTCACTATTTAGTACTTTTTGATTGGTTAGCTCTGAATTCATATCTTTCCATGCTCATTCTTTGGTACTTTTGAATGTCAAAACATGTACAGGTGAATGTAAACACCAATTTTATTCCATCAAATTTTTCTAATAATTTCTTTTACAAAAAATTTCCAAATCAATTATTCAAAAAATAAATGAATAATATATGTATAAAGTGATTAATTATAGTTTTTTCCCTCCAAAATATAATACAAAATAAAATAAAAAAATAGAAAGAAATAAAAAATCAGAAAACAAAACCGAGTAAAAGAATGGGGAGGCACCATTTTGAATTTAAAATAACATAAACTTTCTCTTGCACTACTACGTCCTTCCTATTCTCATACAAGATAGTGTAGGCCTGTTCTCCTCTGTTTTTGCTGTCCCTACATTTCTTTCCTTTTTGATTGAAAAAGAAATCCTCGGCGTAAGCAGAAGAGAAAAGAAGGAATTCATGGATGAGGAGAGGGAACGATATATAGGGGTTACGGTTCAGTGGAAAAGGGGTCCTTTCCTTTTGAAAAAAGGCGGAGAAGAGAAGAAGGAAACGGTAGCAGAAGGAGGAGAGGTTTGGAAGCATAAGGAGGAAGAAAGGATCCGTGAAAGAAAGAAGAAGCGGTAAGGTAAATTGTTTTTTTTTTTTTTTCAACCTATTCACTGTGTCCCTTCATTTATTTTCTTAGCTTGGTTATTATTAGCTTGCATACGGAATCCCCACAAGAAGTCACCACGTCAAACCATTGGTCACTTCACGTCATTCATACATTCACGTTGGGCCACTTTTTTGAAAGTAAATATATACAATGAAAGCAAATAATCACGCACGTTTTGTTTTAAAAGTCACTTTCTAAAGATATATATATATATATATATATATAGAAGTATATATATACAATGAAAGCAAATAGTCTCGCACGTTTTGTTTTAAAAGTCACGTTCTAAAGATATATATATAAAATGAAAAGCAAAGAAATCATACCTGGAAGATTTTCCCACTGTCACTGGTGCACGTAACTCCCATCTATGTTCATCCATTTATTTAATTATTCATTGTTTTAAACATGTTTTACTTTTAAGCTACTCGTCAGATATATTACCTTTAATGTTGTGTAAGCTTAGATTAGTTTATGTTGTAAGAATTATGTCTAAAGCCTATACGTACTTAATATCATAAATAAGGAATAAAAATATACACTAAATTAATGAGGCAATATTAAAAAGAAATAAAGAAAGAAAGATAAGTAACACTGTAGATTAAGTTTTAGGTAATCCATATTTTTTTTATGAGATGTTTATTTGATCACTTTTTAAATTATTTCTTACAATACGCTTAATCATCGCTTAAATTTATTTTATTAAGAAATTAATTGGACATGACGTCTTATTAATTTCAAAGTCTCAAGACACAAGTTGTGACAACTTTGTAGTTCTAAGCTTTCTCCTAAAAAAATGAAATATTTCATAATCGTTAATCTAGATTAAGTCATGGAAACAATATTTTTATTCACAATAAAAAGGAGAGGACTTTTCTAACATTTTGTTTTAAAGGGAGTGAATTAATTAGATGAAACATTTATTTAATCCTAGAAACTTGGAAGTACAAATTGTGATAATTTGATAGTTCTAAAACTTCTCTCTAGAACTTTAAAACATATTAAACCATTTTATAAAAAGAATTAGCTAAGGAGTACACCTTAGTTGGTTCCATCCTGCAGGACATATGAATTGTGACAGTTCACAGATCCTACAGTAATAATAATATTAATAATATCTATCATAATAAAAAAGGATTATTTGAATGTAATATTCTCTTGATTCTAGAGCTTAAAGGTATAAGTCGTGACGATTTGTCATCTTAAAGTCCTTATTTAAATTCAAAATTCGGTTAAGTATCAAAATATAGTGTTAGAATATTCAATATAAATATTTGAAATATTGTACCAAAATTTTATTGGAGAAATGGTTAATTAGATGTGACATCTTTTTAACCTTTGAATTTAAAATACAAGTTGTGACAACTTGATATCTTTAAATTTTTTCTCCAAAAACAAAATGTCCAACCAAACATCTTTTAAGATAATAATATCTATAGTAATAATTATAATTAAAATTTTATTGAATTGACTTTGGTGTATACCTTAGTCAATTTAATATTTTTAGGGTGAATGAGCTGAGACAGTTCAAGAATTCTATATTTAACAAAAATAAAATTTAATTAAAAATATCAACGCGCAAATATTTTCTACCAAAGAACTACGTGACTCTGATTCTTCATTACACATGGAGATACGTAGGAGCAAGAAATAAATCTTGTCGAGCCAAAAAAATAAAAATAACATTATCCCCTTTTTTATGTAAATAATAATTTCAACCCTTTTTAAAAATAATTTAGTTAAATAAAATATATTTGATCATTTTAGTAAGATAAATATTTTATAAATTATAAATAATTAGTTTAATTAATTAAAGGTAATCGTCTTAGGACGAACGTTGTAAGGTGCTAATACCTTCCTCACACGTAATCGACTCCCGAACTCAAAAATCTCATTTTCGTAGATTATTTTCTACTTTATGATTTTTTTAATATTTTTTCGTAAAATAATAACATGACGACTCCCTCTTTTTTAAATTTATTTTTTACCGTTCCGTCGCGATCTAAGTTACGACAGTGAATATGGCGGGGATTAAAATAAGTATTAGCACTGGCAGATTATGCGACGAAATTATCATTTCATTGTCAATCGTGTAATCTGAGCATGTTACAGCTTGAAAAGAGTACAATACAACATAGATTGCAAAAAAAATCGTAGTAAGAAGATCCAGTGTAAATAATATGTCAAACAAGAAAAGCAAAACAAGCACCAACTGGCACTGAATTTGGATTTGGCTGTTGTTTTTCTACTATACGCTGAACACTGCAGATATCATTACCTTAACTCTGTCACTCTCGGCATATTTTCCAGTAACTTTTACAAACTTGTCATTACTAGCTAAATAATAATCTGTTATTTTTCATGTTCTCAGCAAATTGGTCACAACTCACATGTCACAACCCTTATGCAACTAAGGAACTTAAACGCTTGTAACTCCTATTTGACTTTGCGCAGCTATTGGAATCTTCAACAGCCAGGCCTTGTGCTCCAAAAGAAAAATATCCATTCATCAATTTCTTATTGAAGGAACACTGTTTGTAGTTCAATAGAAGTGTGCCATCATCTATTGATCGGTTAGAGGAAGAGGGTCCCATTATATCAGCACCCTTTTCTTTCTTGATGGAAGAAAGAGAAGCCACAGATAGTTCTTGGAAAGGACTAGGATGTGGCTTTAGCTGAATCACACCTTGCGTCACGCCTGAAGTGAATTTAACTTTGGAGGATGGACTTGGAAGAGATGTTCTCTTGTTGTTTGGAAGGGAACATGGTTGTGAGTATCTTTGCCTTAATGGGATTGGAAACTCTTCCAAGTTTCTACTTGAACTAAAAGGATCAAGAGAATGATCATCTTCCAATTCTGAAGCAGTTGATCTTGTATCTCTTCTTCTGGCCCACTTGAGGCGAAATTTTGATGGCCTTGAAGCATAATTGACAGAACTAGACTTCTTGATACGTGGGGAATTGGGTGAGTCAGAATTGCTTAGTTCGTTGGAGCAAGAATGTGATTCCACACTTGCTTGATCATATTCATAATTGGCATCTGATGAATTCTCAATGGCAGTGTACAAGAATATCTCTGCATCTGGTATTCTGAATGAAGTCCCAGGACTGCCTCCAATGACATAACCTTTGTGATTATTACAAAAGGCATTTCCTGCTACAGCATCCTTACAACTAGAGACCCCTCCAGAGGAAATTATCCTCTTGATTAAAATATCAGAAGATGCTGATCGTGGTTTTTGTTTTAGAAGATCCAAAGGGGTCATCCCATCAACATCACAAATGTTCAAATCAATTGATGGCACAGACATCAACAATTCCACTAGCTCACACTGGATATTATCCATCACGGATACATGTAGAGCCGTTCTTCCATCGTTGTTCTTTACATTGATAATGTCCTGTAAGTTCACAATCTTTCCACTTACCAATAGCTTCATGAGCTCAATATGCTTGTCCAGTCTGCGGAAACCAGGACATCTGAAACCAGCCACTGCCATATGAAGAAAAGTATCTCCATAGTGATTGGTTAACAATGCCAGTGAGGGTGATGCAAGAATTAGGATCTCAACCACAGGCAAGTGACCCCCGTAAGAAGCTACATGCAATGCGGTGTTCCCTTGAGCATCTGTTAAATTTACAACATCAAATGATGCAAGTAGATTTCTCACCACCTGCATCATTAAAATGATCAAAATAAGGGAGAGTTAAAACGCAGGAAGTACGCCAGTTTGGAGTTTGGACATACTTAACATCTGCAGAACTTAACTATGATACCCATATAATACATGATGGGTATCTGATATTAACAATACAAGTATTCAAAAAATTATATAGGATACGATAAAACCTATAAAACATAATAAAGATATAATCATAGTTTTGAAAATCTAAATTAAAAACATACCAAAACAAAATAAATTATAAATCATTGTCATCATCATCAATCACTTTCTATTATTTTCAAATAAAATAATACCAATCATATTTTTTTATTGACATTTTATAAAGAGGACAATTTTTATTTTTTTAACTTATTACATTCATAAACGCTCATAGAGCTTTAAGACTTGCTCGACTCTGATGAGTCTCAGAACCTAACTCATCTAAACTTTCTGGTGTTAACAAAAAATTATTACGGGACCATGCTTCTACATTTTTATGTTATATTTGCTTTTATGTGTTACATGTAATTGTATTAAATTTTGATAATTTTCTTCAAATGGTTTAAATATTTCACACAAATGTATCTGTGAAGTATATAAGTATATCACTATAAAAAGTAGAGTTTAAAAGTTATACATTCTCAATGTAAAAAAAATTTATGGTGTCAACCAATAAAAAAATTAACATAATTATATTTAGTATAAAAATAAAGTAACTAATTGCCTCACCTGAATCTGTTTTATGCCGTCAACTAATAAAAAATTTGACAGTGAAGTAAACAAATTTACTGTAAATAGTGATTTGTAATTAGACGATAGTATAAAATTAATAGTTTATAATTGGATAAATCGTGTGCAACTATTTTTCACTTTTGGCATGTAGCCTGGTTCTTTTTTTTTTTTTTTTTTCATAAAGAGTATCTCTACTTCATATAAGATTAACCATTTACTAACAATTAACACCATAATCGATGTTGTGATGTAGTCAGGTTCCAAAGAAAATGACAATCAGCAAAGCATAAAGCAAAAGGGTAAAATGCAGAGGATTAATCCACTACTCATCTTATACATGTTATTTTTTTTTACTGCGATAATAAAATTACAGTAACTAAGTAGTAGGTAGCTCACCTGAACCTGCCCTCTACCAGCAGCACTATGCAACACGGTGCATCCATTGGCATCTCTAAACTCCAAAAGAGGAGAATGTTGTTCTTCCAGAATCTTCTTGAGCATCTCCCAGTTCCCTCCTCTGGCAGCAGCATGAGCCGCTCTGTTCACCATATCCCTCTGGAAAACCCCATCCACCGCCGCTCCCTCCCTCGGCGAGAGAGCGCAACGCAGCAGAATCTCAAACACCTCGCACACATTGCTCCTCGCCGCACCGTAAAGAATATCCGTCACGCCGTACTCGCCTTCCCCGAACACCAGCGCCGGGCGCTTCCCCAGCAGCTCCCGCACGAAATCGGCGTCGCCGGCCGACGCCGCGGTGTAGAGGAGCCAGCCGCCGTAGCCGGCGCGGATGAGGGAGTTGCGTCCGTTCTCGGCCTCGCACTCGAGCATGAGGCTTCTCGCCACGTGCGAGCGGTGCTTCGCCACACGTGCCTGGTCGTCCCAGACGGTCTCGAGGCGGCGGATTCTGCGGAGGGAGGTGAGCTTTGTGAGGAGGTTGGCGTCGAGGTGGAGAAGCTCCACCACCAGATCGTAGTGGCCGTTCGCGGCGGCGCAGTCGATCGGAGTGGCGTACCACCATTGCTCCCCCGTGCTCTCCCACCGCAGAGGCAAATACGACGGACACATTACACTTGCACACCAATGCCTTCTATACACTCTCAAGTCTCAACTTCACAATGCTCCAAATGCCAAATATAACATCAAACTTGTGTAGAGATAATCTCAACCTTAACTAATCCACAAGTTTGGAGAACTTCAAATCTTGAACATCGTATTGAGTTTCATATTTCAATAAATGTGGAACTCTAAACATTTTCGATGCCTTTAAGAATTGATGCTTATGAAGATTTTGAACCTTAATTTTTTAATAGTAAAACTTTTATAAAATATTTGTATATTTTATAAAAATTAAATTATACTTAAAATATAAACATTTTTAAAATAAGTATACCATACTTTTATTAATAACACTCTCTTAATAATCCTTCTTTTTATTATTAATTAAGATTTATTAAATTTATAATTTTTTTCTCATAAACTCTCTTGTTCATAGTTTGTAAGACATAATTTTTATTAAACAAATATTATTTTATCACTAACAAATATTGATGTTGAGATTATCCGGTGGACTCATGTCTCAAGACACATAAAAAGGTTGGTTACTTTCTAACATAAGTTGACAATAAGTTGTGGATTTTAGAAGCTGATTCAAAGTTTTTTTATTTATTTATTAATTTCAATATCCAGTGGTAGCAAAGGGAGTAATGGTGTGAAAAAACTTGGTGTGAGATGAGATTGACAGAGTGCGAAAAGGTCGGTGGGGATGGCATTATTAATTGCGAACATGAACCCAACTACCGTTCCCTGCGGAAGTTGATGGCAAAATGTTACTAAAAGAAACAGAGTGAAAACTCGTCACACGCGGTATATTAGAAGAGAAATTCTATAGTACCCATTTTATTTAAGAGGATACCGGTACAATCTTTTATATTTTATATTTTTAATAATTTATTTAAATAATATTTAAAATATTTTATTCTTTCAATTTTTAAATTATTTAGTCATTTTATTTTTATACTCTCAGAGTCACCATGACTTTCTATATCAATGGGAAAAGAAAGTTGAAAAAAGAGCATAGAAAGTTTAAGATTCTCTGATCCCTGAGCATATGACCAAATGACATTAATTTAATTATGATTTTATGACCCCAGTAACCAACAGGTAACATTTAACAATTCTTACGTGTGTCCCTCCCTACCCAAAATGAAAATTCTTGCGTGCAGGATTTGTAAACGATCAATTAAAGAAAAAGGTTAAATAATATTAAAGTAATTTTAGCATGGATTAACATTAATATATTTTGCTGTTTAATGCATCTTGAGTTTGATTATTTTTATTGATAAAAATTGAATACAGTATCAAAATTTAACAAATTTACCACCCGTGGTTAATCACATGATTTATTTATTAAAAAATTACAAAATACAAGAAAAATCGAATTATTTCGCTTCTTCTGTCCTTAATTTCTTCCTCTCCCCTCCCAATTTAATCACATGGGTAAGACCCCATTGATTATTGATATTCACAGCATGGTGTGCACTGAAAAGTTGTTTCATTCACTTTTAGGAAATTTCTAGCATTGTGTCACACTTGCAACAACAAATTGGTAGAGCATTTAATTGGGTGAAGAGGGATTGTGGACACAAGTTTTTTATTTGTATTTATTCAAATTTCCCAGAGCCCATAACTCAACTTTTGAGGTGCAATGTCTATATTTATTGCTAACTTCCCTTGACATCAATCGTTTTTTAGATAGAAGATAACATGTATAAAAAAATTTGGATTACAATTTTTTATGATTAATATATTTGACATTCTTTTAAATAATATTAAATTTTAGTACATTAAATTTAAAATGCTTTCAGTTAATATCTTTAACAAAAGTAATTATGAAATAAAAATAATAATTACTTAATAAATACACACACATATATATATATATATATATATATATGTATATTAATTTAAATTAATATTATTTAAATGTATAAAATACCAAACATTTTAAAATATAAAAAAGTATAAAATATAAAAACAGTTATGATCGATCCATAGAGTAATTAATATGACTTTGAAAATGGAGGTTTCCATATCATTGATTGACTTTTGTTGATTGAGAAAAGTGCTAATTTCCATAAATTCTTATTTCACTTTCTATTTTAAGGATGTTTAGGTTTTTCAAAATTTCACATGCACGCAAAAGATAAATGAAATTTCCGATTGAGATATAAATAACTTTTTCAAAATAATAATTAAGGTGGCGTTTAGAATGGTTGGGAATAATGAATATGAATCTCTTCATAATAAATGGTATATATTGTTAATTTTTACAAAAAAAAAATTAGTCCTTTATTTGTGAAAGCATATCAAGTATGATCTTTATTTACGTAAATGAGAAATTAAAAGAAAACATTTTTAATGGAGGATAAGACTACACATGATATATTTTGAAAAATGATAGATTATTTCTTATTGAGAAACTTCAAAATGAACTTGTATATATACAATAAAAATATGTTTCCTTTTTAATAAAATTATTTTGTAAGATTGATATTATAAGTAGTTTCTCCACTAAGGGTATAATGTCTAGTTTTTCATTAATGAGAAAGAGGTGAACAACGAAAACATAAAATAAATATGTAATAAAATTGAATAAATCATATAATAATAAGTTATGGTATTTAAAAAATAAAAAATAAAAAACTGATAGTTGATTCTCGTCTTATATGAAGTATGTTGTATACTAGTACAAATTTATTGTAAAAAAAAAATTAAGTCTACCATATATCAATATACTTTCACTTCATGCATGTAATTAATAAGAAATAATAAAAAAATCACATGAATTAAAATATATTGTAAAAAAAATATTAGTACGAATAATAAGTTATGGTATTTTTTAAAAATATGTGGTTGACTCTCACCTTATATGAAATATGTTGTACACTAGTGTAAATTTTTTGTTAAAAAAAACTAAGTTTACCATGTCCATATTTCACTTCATGCATATAATTAATAAGAGATAAAAAAAATCACATGAATTAAAATATATTTATGAAAAAAAATTATTAATATGAGTGATTTGATGTTTTTTTCTCTTTCACCAAGGATCGGAGTCTAATTTTAGTCTTACATGAAATTGCAATTGAAAATAATACTTTACTCTATAAGAGTCAAATCAATGAAAATGAGATACACCTCTTTATTAAAAAGAATATATTTTCTCTATTAGAAAATAAAATAAATTTGTTATAAACATATAGATGACATATTGGAATATGCATAACGACTTTCCTTATCTTCTTAATGGTGTAAATGGGATTCATGTGGCAAAAGCAATAATAATAATAAGAGAAATTCTACGGTATCCATCTTATTTGAGAGGGTACTGGTACAGTTTTTTTATATTTTATATTTTTAATAATTTATTTAAATAATATTTATAATATTTTATTCTTTTAATTTTTAAATTATTTAGTTATTTTATTTTTATTTTATATATTCCAGTTTATTTGTAATAATATTATTTTATATTTAAATAGTTTAATTTTAATAATTTTTTAAGTATATTTTTATCTTTTTATTTAAAAATTTTGAATTTCTATATTTTAATTTTAATAATTTTTTAAGTATATTTTTTTTGTCTTTTTGTCTTAAATTTTAGAATTTTTATATTGTAATTTTAATAATTTTTTATTTTTACTATTTATTAATTTTTTTCTTTTTTAATATTTTATAATATCATTAAAATCTTATAATTTTAATTTCTATAATTTTATCTTACTTTTTATTTTATAAGTATAATTTAGATTATTCATTTTATAATTAAATTAATTTTTATAAAATATTTTATGAATTTATATAAAAAAATGTATTGAAACCCCTCTAATTTTTGAAGGTACCATAACAACTCCCTGATAATAATCATTTCAACCGTTGACATTATACACAATTTGTCAATTTATAGGGTAGATCCATAAAATTGGGTACTTCATTTAACTATTTACATAGGGAAACATATCAAGATTCAAGACAATGAGAGGCTGATTATTTTGACGAAAATGGAACAGCACACCATGAGACAGTAGAACGTGTCTGACCATTATTGCCTTCGTTTTTTAACTTCTAGCTAGATGGAAATGGAAGAACCACGTGGTTAATTTATCTCTCCACATGAGGAGATTTTTCATGTACGTACGTGATGTAAATTGTTTAAAGTATTTTTAATAATGTTATTTAACGTATTGAACAAAAATATCATACATTGAAATTAACATTAGTCTTCATTTAACTTATTTTTACAACATTAAAAATCTACTAATCAAGGTGATTTTCATTACGGTGATTTAAGAAGAGGATATAAGGTTAAAATGATTATAAAAAAAAGTGTGAGTTTGAATCCTTCCACTAATATAATAATTAAAAATTAATATTTATTGTATTATCCGTACCATCATGTCGAGCTCGAGCTCGGCATCACAGCGTGGAATGACCTCGAAACACGCATTTGGAGATCTCGGTCTAGACGAGATCCGCAATCCAACCAGATCATGCCTGATCTCAGGAGATCTCGGTCCAGATGAGATTCGCTATCTAATTAGATCATAACTGATTTCAAGCCCAAGACCCAACGCAACTCTAATTCACACTAAGGTACGTGCATTACTTATATAAGACATATACTTATACAAACCCTAACTTTGGCATCAGAGTCTCTTTTGCAGGTACCACCCCTATCTTGGAGCACCAGCGTACCAGTGAAGGAAGCTCACCAATCTTACTTGGAGGATCATCTCTATGACAAATTCCCGGTAAAAACACTTATTAATAAAAAATTAGAGTTTTTTCATTTTGTTTGAACTACAAGAATATGTTGTTACAATCTTACATTATGTTTCCACCGTATATGCATCTTTATCATCTTTATCGTCATTTTCACTCTAATACTTAATCTTAAAATATATAACTCTTTTAGTCCATTTTCTAAATTTTTTCCTCTGTATATATGTCCAGGATTATTAATGTGAACATGTTCTCTAAATTAAGTAGGGGTTAAAATAATGATTGTATAATTTCTCAACGACTAAAAGTGAGAGTTTTAACTTCAATAATTTACTTTAGTTTTCTATTCACTTAGTTAATGTTGCCCTTTTTATGTTCTAATTAATATCTAAGATAATAACAATCATGTTCCTTAAAGTTTGAGAATTTTCTTCTAATACATCTCCTTTTCTTGACTTGCACTAATCTTGCTAATTAGTTTTAGTG